TTCCTCAGCAATAAGAGGAGGATTGGCAGTAGTTAGCCCAGGGCTAATCTTCCTCAAAAAAAAAAACAAAAGAAGAAGAAGAGGAGTTCTTTATTCTGGATATTAATTCTTTTTTGATTTATATCTGTTGCAAATATTTTCACCAAATCTGTGGCTCCTATTAATTTTGTTTTTTGTTTTTTATTTTTGAGGAAGATTAGCCCTGAGCTAACTGCTGCCAATCCTCCTCTTTTTGCTGAGGAAGACTGGCCCTGAGCTAACATCCATGCCCATCTTCTACTTTATACGTGGGACGCCTACCACAGCATGGCTTGCCCGGTGGTGCCATGTCCGCACCCGGGATCTGAACTGGCGAACCCCAGGCTGTTGAAGTGGAACGTGCACACTTAACCGCTGTGCCACCGGGCCGGCCCCATGCTTTTGGGTTTTTTAAAAAGATTTTATTTTTCCTTTTTCTCCCCAAAGACCCCCGGTACATAGTTGTGTATTTTTAGTTGTGGGTCCTTCTAGTTGTGGCATGTGGGATGCTGCCTCAGCATGGCTTGATGAGCGGTGCCATGTCCATGCCCAGGATTCGAACCGGTGAAACCCTGGGCTGCCAGAAGCGGAGTGTGTGAACTTACCACTCGGCCATGGGGCCGGCCCTAATTTTGTTTATAGTACCTTTTCTTTTAATTAAAATTTTTAATTTTAATGTACTTAAATTCATCAATCTTTTCCTTTATCATTTGTATTTTTGTATCTTGTCTAAGAACTCCCTCCCTACTCCAAGGTCATAGATATTCTAAAAAGTTCTTTCTAGATCTTAAGTTTTGCTTTTCCACATTTTAGATCTTTAATTCACCTTGAATTTATTTTATGCATGATGTGATAGAGAAATCTATTTTTTCATATGTATAACCAATTATAGAATCGTGGATTAATTAGTTCATCATTTCCCCCTTTGACTTTCATGTCATCACTGTTATATTTTAAACATGGGTCTGTTTCTGGGTTTCTGTGGTGTTCCCTTCTCTTGTTTATTTGTCTATCTCTATGCCATATGGCACAGTCTTAATTACTTCATTACTGCTAAGACCAGTTTCCTCAGCTTGTTTTTCTTAACACTTCTTGGTTATGCTTGGCCTTTTGCTCTTCTAGATGGATTTTAGCACCAATTGTCAGATTCCACAAAAAAACCATAAAAACCTAATTGGAATGTTTATTGGAATTGCATTAAACTCACAGATTAATTTGAGGGCAATATGCATCTTTACAATATTGGTTATTCTCATCCTTGAATATATTAGTATATCTTTTTTTTTTTTTTTTTTTTGCTGAGAAGATTCACCCTGCACTAATATCCATTGCCAATCTTCTTCTTTTTTTGCTTGAGGAAGATTAGCCCTGAGCTAACATCTGTGCCAGTCTTCCTCTATTTCGTATGTGGGTCACTGCCACAGCACAGCCAACAAGTGGTCTAAGTCTGCACCCAGGATCCAAACCTGCAAACCCGAGCCACTAAAGTGGAGAGTGCTGAACGTAACCACTATGCCACGGCGCCAGCCCCTATCTCTCTCTTTTTATTTAGGTCTTCTTTTATGTCCTTCAATAATGTTTTGTCATTTTCTCCATGAAGGTCTTGCATGTCTTTTTATTTTTTTATTTTTATTTATTTTTTTTTTGCTGAGGAAGATTCATCATATCTTAAATTTATTCCTATGTGCTCCTATTGAGAATGAGATCTTTTTTCCTATTACATTCCCTAATTGGTTACATCTGGTATGTAGAAACATCATCGATATTTGTAACTGATCTGGTATCCAGCAACCATGCTGAACTTTCTTATCCTAATCTTTATATAGATTCTCTTGGATTTTTCTATGTAGACTATCACTGTCTGCATACAAGTACAGTTTAGTCTTCCTTTCTGACTCTTAAGCCTCTCATTTATTGTTCCTCTCTTATTGTATTGGTTTTACGCCAGAACAATGTTGAGTAAAAGCTGTGACAGCAGACTTTTTTTTAACAGCTTTATTGAGATATAATTCACATACCATAAAGTTCAACCTTCAGACTTCCGTTTTTAGTTACTGTTTTTAATGGGAATGCCTCTAAAATTTTACCATCTAAGTAATCAATTGTCATAGTACCATTTACATTTGTTGACTGGGTCACCATTTCCCTACTGATTTGTCATGTTATCTCTGACATATGTTTTATATACAGATTTATTTCTGGGTTCTGTTCCATTAGTGAATGTATCTATCCTAATGTCAGTACCACACTGCCGTATTTCCCATAGCTTTATATAATAATGTACATATTCGCTGTAGATTTATGAATTCCCTTTATCAAGTTAAAGAAGTGCCTTTCTACTCTTAGTTTGCTAAGAGGCTTTTTAAAAATTATGAATTGGTTCTGAGTTGTTTCAGGTGCTTTTTCCTCATCTGTGAGATGATCCTATAGTTTTTCTCCTCTGTTAATTTGGTATTTTTTATTAATAGACATGATAAGCTATGTAACACCTTCTTGGGCTAAGCTCTACCTGGTCATGATTCTTTTAGTACACTGCTTATTTCCTAATATGTTATTTAGAGTTTTCCTATGTTGATAAATGAGATCTATAATTTTTCTCTCTTATAAAGTTTTCGCATTGAGATTTTATAAGTCTCAAAATGAATTTGTGATTATTTCCTCTTTCTAATCTCTGAAAACTTAAGAAAGGGTTAAGGGTCCCTTATGTAGTTTGATAAAATTCATCTGTCAAATCTTGCTAGTGTCTTTTAAGGACCAGAGTTGGGGGAGACTAGATGCTACTTTAACTTTTAAAACCTTCTTTCAGATGCTGCATTTTAAAGGCAAGATTGACAAATCCATTTTTATTGGTTGATATTACAAATAACGCTGCTTTCTTCAATCTTTTATTTTTTGGTAATAGCTGTTCCCTCCTCAGTTCCAATAATACTTTCTAATAAAGCACTTACAACACTGCTCTGTAATTATTTGTCTACGTGTTGGTTTACCACCAGACCGTAAGCGCCTACAGGATGGGGTAATGTTTTATTCATATTTGTGCCTCAGTGTCCAGCACAGTGTGAGGCACATTGTAAAAAGAAAAAACAAACATCTTGAAACGATTTCACGTTGCCAACCACGTCTTTCCTCTGAAATCTCAAGTTTGATGTCTCACTTCTGACACCCGGTAGTAGTGTGGCTGTGAGAATGACGCTACCCATCTTATCAGGGCTTTTTGAAGATTAAGTGATGATGTACCTAGCTACTGTGGTATCCGGTGAGTGCTCAACTATAAATTACTTTTAAAAGAAAGAAAAACATAGGTGGCTTCAGTGACACTTGCCTTTTGATTTTTTTCTTCTCTGTATTTCTTCTCAGTTTCATTTGTGGGTTTGTGGTTGTGACACAGAAACAAATGCCTTTGCGAAGCTAGCCCTCCTCCATTTCTGTATAATCCCATTCTGTTTCTCTGGATAAGGAGGGTTTTACCATTCATTCCCACCAGTCCCTGCCTCAGGTGGGGGCTCTTTGGTAAGTCAAGCGAGGCCAGAGTCCTCCCAGGGACTTTTAACATTGTCCTCAGAAGAAACGCTCTTCCTTCCACTGGAGTTGCTAAGCTGATGGGGACATCTTTGCTGTCACATGGGAGGAATCTGCCTGAGAATGAAGTCAACACAGAGGAAAACAAAACCAAGAGATGGAAAGAGTTTTGATGTTATCATTTCATCTCTTGTTTGTGCTATGCCTGAAGCTAGCGAACCATCCCTATTTAATAGTTAAAATAATAAATAGCTTTTTTAACTTAAGCTAGTTTCAGTTGGGTGTATGTCACTGCAAACAAGTTTCCTTGGTAACACAGAGCTTCTTCCTCCTCTTTACCTTGCTCACTCAGAGGTCAGTTTCTACCTACTTCTAGTTTGAATCTAGCAGCAAATGGGAGTACAGATTTTCTTGGGTCAGGTTTGGGAAAGACCAACAAGATGCTTATGACAAGAATGTTTCTTCTGATCCTAGTTGGGAAGCTGACATCAGTAGAGAGCTTCGACGGGTTGCTTACATAATTTGGTAAAGATAAAGCTAAAGACCTTTGTTTCTTCCCCAACAGGAAGTTTAAGACAGTCATTTTAACTACATGTTCTTGGATCACTGGGTGATACCTGGTTTCTTCATTCTCATGATCTATGTGGGGCTCTAGCCTCCAACACAGTCCATCTCAGAAAGATTTAGGAAAGTAAGCATTTCCTCTTAAATGCATTTGTGTTGTGGCAAGCCTACACATCTGTACTAATTTGTGAGAAATCATGAAACTCGTAGGCCTGAAAAAATATAATATTGATTTTTAGGAAGAAGGGATAGGAGAGCAAAACCTTAAAGAATGCAGGGAAATATAAAGGATGTCTGTATGTAGTTATCATTCCAACACTGTCATGTAATAGTAAAAGACTGCAAACAACCCAAATGCCATTAATAGGGGACTAGATAAGTAATGATATATCCACATAGTGCAATACTATTTGGCTGTAAAAGTGAATGAAAAAGCTCTCTATGAAGTAATATGGAAAGATCACCAGGATATCCTGTTACATGAAAAAAAAGCAATATACCTATATATATATATAAAGTGTTTTCTTTGTATAAGAAAAAGGAGAAAATAAGGACACATATTCATACTTAATTGTACTTTCAAAAATAAATACTGAAAGAAAGAAGCCAGTAAAAGTAGATTCCCATAGGTGGAGGGTTAGGGTAGTCAGAAAGCAGTGGTAGGAGCAGGACTTCTCAATGTATTGATAAATGAACTATGATATGTGATATCTGAACCACGTAAATATATTAACCATTCAAAACAAAAGATTTCCCTCCTTATGACACAGGCCACTGTTCCTGTCCTATGCTGTGCTGTCATGGCCCCCACAAGCCCTCATCCTGGCCTAGCAGACATAGGAGCTACTTCTCTGACCCATTTAAAAGAAGGTGAATAAAGGACATGGTCACACTTCAAGGCCTTTATAAGAGGAAGTTTTATTGTTAATTATTTACCTTAATAGTTTCAGAAAGAAGAACAGATTAGCTCACTCCAACATGATTGGCAGTTAGCAAAATCTAGTGAAGCAAGTGTTCTGATTGCTAAGGATTTAATTTGGATGCTTTTAATACTTAGCCATCTAACACTTCAAACATAATCCAGAATAAATGCGTCATCTCCCTCCCTTTCACTTTAATACCCACCTCCCTCACTTCAATATGGAAATATCTTCATTAAATATGATTCCCAGAGGAACAAGTTCCCTGGAGAGTATAGCCATGAGGACAGTGCACAAAAAGAAAAACTCAAAATAAAAGTCTGTATGATAATTTACTAGTCTAAGGAAACAGAACCTTCCAATATATTAAGAAATGAATCCAGCTACAAATGCACCGGTAGGTCTATGTGAAGACGGCCGGCTATCGACAGACACAGGGCAGGAACGGCGCCCAGCCCAGCACTGGCCCTCAGAAGCCAAAAGTGTTCTCTCCACTGTAGGCCACATACAAGAATCCATCTTCATCTTTTTCCTTCTCGTAAAGCTGTCCCATAGTTAGGCTTGAAAAAGAAAAACAAAACACAACATTGAGAATTGGGTTTGGTTACTGAGTCTAGGTGTTGAAAGATGGCTTGAGGATAAGGAACTTGACTACTTAAACTAGCTACTCTCTACCACACTTTTGGTGGTAGGTGGTAAAAGTAATTCAGATCTCAGTACCTGCTGTGTGCCTACAATCCTGTTTTAAAGAAGGGAGATGGAGCCACAAAACATTAAGATAAATTAGGGCTCTGGGAATCAGTAAATAAGACTGGAATCAAGTCTCCATCCTCCTGTCCCAAGGCAAGGCCATCCGACTCACCCTCACACCAAATAAATCCTTCAGAGGCCAACACTAGCTCCTTGAGTGGGCTTGGCTTCTTAGTACTGGTTAGTACGTTCAGAATGCCAAGGGAAGGGAAAAAAACTGGGCAAAATTAAGAGCCTAAGAGGCCAAACCCAGTGTGGGTGGAGGACCACGGAAAGGAAGAGTACATGGGACTCTCTTCCCTTCAGGCTGGTTTATGTGAAGATGGATAATTTGTGCCTAACATGATAAAGTACAGTGGTTCATTCTTGTGGAAGCTTCCCCGCCAAAAAACCTGTGCCCCGCAGATCTGCATCAGCGTCATCACAGAGAAATGATTTTCCTCACACATAATGCAAAAAGCTCTCACACTGTATCTGGGAGCCAAGGAAGCCCTGCCCAACCCTCCTAAGAACCCTCCAGAAATAGATACTGCTCAAACTAAACATGTGTGGGTGGGAAAGCTGGCTTTCCCTAAGCCATAAAACAGACTCAGGAGAGGAGACCTAATCTAGTTCTCTGCCATGAAACTGAGCTGTACTGGCTCCAGAGCAAGACTAGTAACACCTGGAACCTGAGGCAAGCTCTGGCCACGTGACTGGACTATTTGAGATGAGCAAGAGGTGCAGACGTGCTAAATGTCAGTCATGCATGGTGGGGTCAACCAGAACCAGCAGTAAAGCAGCGGTCTGAGAGCTTGCTCGAGACATCAGAGGTCACTAGCCTGGAGAGGTCACAAGAGATAATTAAATGCAGGATTCAGTAAAACAAGGGCTGGTGGGATACATAAAGAGGGTCCAGGGCCTCAAGCTGGTGAAGCAACGATTGCCCCACACTGCTGCTTTGCTCCTGGCAGACTCAGTGGGACGTCCATGTAAACAGCGATACAGGGCACATTTATAAAGGGAGAATTTTTTCCTTTCCTATTCTTCTTGCCCCATTTGCAAGCTTAGCCGGGTTGGCTGTGTGGGTAGATGAGAATTATTTGAGTAACAACGTGGGGGTGGATGAGTATGAATACAAAATGGCCTGTCATCAGCATCTGGTACAATACAACAGTGCTCCCTGTGAGGATCTCTTAACCTGGAATTTGTAAAATAAGGACTCCCTGGAACAGCAGTGTCCAGAAATGTCCTGTATTTTTGCTGCCCAATACAGTAGCCACTAGCTACATTCAGCACTGAAAGTGTGGCTTGTCTGAATTGGGATGTGCTGTAAGTGTAAAACACACACAAGATTTCAGACTTAGTATGATAAAAAAGGATGGAAAATATCTTAATTTTGATTACATGTTGAAATGATGACATTTGATGTACTGGATAAATAAAATATATTATTAAATTAATTTCACCTCTTTTTTAATGCACCTGCTAGAAAACCTAAAATTACATACGTGGCTCACATGCCCTTTCTATTGACAGCACTGCCCTGGAACATGTGAGCATTTGGGGGGCAGTGGGTAGGGGGAAGAACCCCTCCTCATGAGAACACCTGGAGTGTTGAGTCTCAACCTCAGCTGCACTTGAGAAACACTGAGAAGCTTTACAAACATCTCCCCGCCCAAGCCCCACCCTACCATCAGAATTTCTGGAGGTAGGACCCAGGCACCAGTATGTTTTAAAATGCCCAAGATGACTCCAGGTGCACCCAGGTTGAGAAATAGTCCCTCTGCCAGAGGAAGAAAGATGCTTCGGTTTTTTTTTTTTGGAGATGCTTATTTTTAAGAGCCATGTGATGGGGAAGTAGAGTGACTCACAAGCCAGGAGGTGGAGTGAGAAGCCAGCAGGGAGCAAAGGGCTTGAACAAGCAGCCGAGTCTCTCAAAAAGACTTTTACCCTGGTGGCTGGGAATGCCTGGAGGAACCTGCTCTTCTCTGCAATTCCTCAGAATGAGGCTAAGCGGAAAACAGCTTCAGCTATTGCCACAACTCTCTCTGCCCCTCTTGGTCCAAGTATGCAGGGTGACCTTGATGAGACCTGTCCTACCATCTCCCCACTACCATTACCAAAGGATTTAGACGCAGAAGTAGCAGACATTGTGTGCAATTCAAAGGCAGCCACCCCTTGGTGCCTATGTCACATTTGGTTCCACCTGACAGATTAAGTTCTGCTCTTTTCCTAGCAAGTTAGAAGCCCTAGTACAATGACTCTAAATTCCACTCTGAATTAGAAATATTTGAGTTTTATAAACATGAGTGGCCCACTTGAGACTCTCGTATGCCGTCTATAGTGAACAAAAACCAGTGGAACCACTACTGTCCGAGGCAGGCTCTGAGACTTAGAGGTGGGGCCAGGGGCCATAATCACGTACCTTTCTGTCTTTTGACTCCACTCTTTTTTTTTTAACGGTTTGTTTTTTGTGGGTTTTTTTTGGTGAGGAAGATTGGCCCTGGGCGAACATCTGTTGCCAATCTTCCTCCCGCCCCCCCACCCCCGACCTAAAGCCCCACTAGATAGTTGTATATCCTAGTTGTAAGTCATTCTAGTTCTTCTATGTGGGATGCCACCACAGCATGGCTTGAGGAGTGGTGTGTAGGTCCACACCTGGGATCCAAACTGGCAAACCCCAGACCGCCAAAGCAGAGCACACAAACTTAACCACTCAGCCACAGGGCCGGCCCCTCCATTGTCTTTTAAGTAAAACTTGGGTTATATAAATTTGTTTAAACAGTGCCCTAGCAGCTATAAAGGAAAAGTTCTAATTCTAATAGCAAACACATGGCAAGCACTATTCTAACTGCATTACATATATTAACTCTTTATCCTCACAACAATCTTATGAGGCAGGTACTATCATATCCATAGTTCATAGATAATAAAAGTGAGGCACAGGTGGTTAAATAATTCACCCCAGGTCACAAAGCTGGAGACATTCTTAACACCAAGCTGTGCTACCTCCAAGTGAATACACTGCTAGGTCTGTTCTAATGAGCTGATGTCAGCGTCCTTGTACCTTCTTCAGCAATCTCCCTTAGAACAGGGCTTCTCACATACACAAATGTGCATACCGACTCACCTGGACAGCCTGTTCGAGCGCCTGTTTGGATTCAGGGGGTCAGGGTGGGGCCTGAGAGTCTACATTTCTAACAAGCTCCCAGCTGCGGCCACTGCTGCCAGCCTCTGCATCACACGTCAAGGAGCCAGGTCTTAGCACTCTCTCATTCACATCCTGTAATGTGACGACTGGATGGCTGTGCCTCATAACTTTAAGAGTCCTCTCACTGTTCTCCTTTTCTGTCACACAGCCTCGCGTGGAAACTATTTAGTTGGCAGCAGCACTGTGTCCTTATACTCAGGCTACCGCTTGGGCAGGAACTTGAAAACTGATAAGGCTCAACTCTGGGACTACAAGCTCCATTCAGCAGCCTGTGATGGAATGCCTGATTTCGAGGCTTTCCTGGGTGCCACGAAAGAAAACTGGCACATCTACAGCACTTGTGAGATCAGGCTGCACTCATACAGAGTCACAACTACTTGCCCTAGAGCCAAAAAGAGCTGAGCCACAAATACAGTTTAAAAAGAAATTTTTTTTTGGTCCCATTAAAAGAATGGTCAAGGGGCCGGCCGGTGGCACAGCGGTTAAGTGTGCACGTTCCACTTCTCGGCAGCCTGCGGTTCACCAGTTCAGTCGCAGGTGCCGACATGGCACCGCTTGGCACACCATGCTGTGGTAGGCATCCCACATATAAAGTAGAGGAAGATGGACACGGATATTAGCTCAGGGCAAGGCTTCCTCAGCAAAAAGAGGAGGACTGGCAGTAGTTAGCTCAGGGCTAACCTTCCTCCAAAAAAAAAAAAGAATGGTCAAGTGGAAGTGCAGAGAGAAAACGTGACCCTAGTCAGCAGGCAGTCTCCAGCAGAAAGCTAGTATGTCAGTTTAGAACAAATTCCATAAGCCTCTGAGAAGATGAGCTTCCCTCTCAGAATTCACAGATGCCTGAGCCACACAGCGCTAGGCAGGCCACTGCTGCAATGCCTGAGGATCCTAATGCACAGAGGCAGCTCTGCTGGGTCTGTCAGGCTAAGCTGCACGGGCTGCTGGATGGACTGACAACTCGCAGGCAGCACTGTAACTCCAAGGCTTCCTGCCTAAGTTACTGGCTGCAGGAGACACCCAGAGAGGACCTCCAGTCCCTGTTACTAATGCACACCATTGTGGCACCAAGTATTACATGCACTCATCCAAGTACCAGGGGTACCAGGGTATTGCCACCTTCTAAGCTCTGAGTCTGACAAGGAAAGAAATGGGAAAAGCCAATGTTAGATTCTGGCCATGGAACCAATCTAAGGTGGAGTGCAGCTGGTGTACTGAGTGAAATGAACCTAAACTGCCCCCTAAAACTCTGTCCCCCACCCCTCCGTTCAAGGTCACATGTATCCAGACCAACTAACCAATAATAAAGGCAAGTTTCAGAAGGATCCACATCCAGGAACAGCCATGCTACTGACGACAAATAGTAGTTTTAAGCTACTGAACAGCCTATGAATTGAGGGAGGCTGACCTAGAACCGTGTGGATGCCCAATCCCTACAGAACCTCCTCTTGGCCCCCAAACAAGGACAGGTGGTGGAGGCTGTGGGATCCAGCCTGGCTCATGAACTGGCTGGACTGATGGGCACACCTGGCCTCCCATCTGCTTTGGGTGCTTCCACTGGACCTGGATTTCTCTCTTTTCCAGCAGGGGAGGTGGAGTGAGGTGGGAGGACAATGGCCACTGCTGTAGGTCCAGTAAAGGCACTGGCCTCGAAGTGAAGGTTAATATGGCCCTGAAGGCTCCTCAAGATTCTAAAAAATAAAAATTAACTACTGCCTCTTCCTTGTATCAGATTGTTCTCTAATATAAATACTCTATTCTACTGCTGAAATAAACCCTGTTCTTGAAGTGTTTACCCAGAAATGATCAAGAGTGCTTAATTTAAGCACATTTCTAAATAAGGTTTGAATGGACTATAAGACATCATAACTTCCCTTCACCTTGTACCTCTTTAAGATCCAGAAGCAACACCATAACACCAGAATCTTAAACAGTACAGGTTTCCCAAGGTAACATTCCCAAATTATAACATCTTAGAGACAGTTCATTTAATAATATACTCCTATTTCTATTTTAAAGGGGGATTAACAAGAGTCTTGTCTGTGTTCTAAACAAAGACCACAAGGTAGACACCATTGCCAGGTCTGGGTTCCCCTCTAAAGCCGTGACTGGGAAACCTGTACAGTGACGTTCCCTCTCAAGTCCTGCCTGCACCAAGGCATAGTTCTTTTGTTTTGGCCTGATTCTAGATGCAGAAACCTGGGCAGAGAATTCAGCTTTCCAATGCTAAATAAGAAAAGGCAGTTGAGATTCTCTCCCTGTTTAACAAAACAGAACTCGGAATTTAGGAAGTAAAACACTTAGGGACTTGCCTGTCTCTATTTCTAGAATCAATATTTAATACCAAGTACTCTAAACAATAATCACGACATTTTACATGGTGATCACCTGTGTTCCAGAACACTTCCCAAAGTTCTGTTCCAAGGCAGGAATAAATGAAGTTACTTCTGCTCAGCCTCAGGCATAAACAATTCCTGTTAGGGATAGGGGAGGGCTCCTACAGGCCTGGATTCATCCTTTCTCAAGTGATTTCCCCAGCCACCTTCTGAAGGCTGCAAGCACTGGCTGAAGGTTAAGGGCAGCCCTGCGATTCCCTGAGGAGGCTGGAAAAAGCTGAGGAAGAGACTGCTAAACTGCCTTGAGGAGGAGATGGTGAAGCTGAGTCACACACCAGCTTCAGGAAGGAGACCCTGTAGCAATTCTGTTTGTGCTCTCAGGTGATTAGTATTTGCATAAAACCTCATGATGTCACATGCCTCTTTTGTTTATAAACAAATTTGTTTTCAAGAATCAAACCCCAAACAAAGAAGTGCTGCATTAACTGTGGGGCAGGAAGTCATTAACTGGGGCCAAAGGCACGGAGAGCCTGAGCAGAGGGGCCCTAGTTAGTGACTCTAAAATCCTGACTCGGGTCACTGGTGTAATCTGCTTTAGAGCAGATTCTTACCAGGTTGGAAAGGCAAATGGGACTTGGAAAGAAAATGGCCCTGATGCAGCTTCTGCTGCCCTGAGAATCACTTTTCATTTCCAATTCTATTTATATCTCAGGGATAACGGAGGGAGGGGGCAGTTCCTAAAATCTGCAGCCATTTTAATTGCTAGATTAACGTGGAGCCATCAGAGTAATCTTAATGTCTTCAGAAGCCTGACTCCTTTCCTGCAAGAAGCATCAGAGGATCAGAATCGAGGAAAATAAACTCAATGCCATAGGTCCTAGTCATCTACTTCCTCTCACTACGAAGTCACCTCCAGGAAGCAGGAAACACACGGTCACGAAGGCTCTGCATAAGTTGCAGGTGGTATGAGTGAAGATTTACCTCCCATACCACCATAAGGGAAGTCACAAGTAACCACAGAGGCCCAGGGCTTCCGCCCCCAGTGAAGACTGCACCCAGTACCACACTGCCTGGACGCCTGGGAAGGAAAGGTGGAAGAGCCCAACCGGGTGACGGGATCACCTCTGACAACACCGCAGCTTCCTGAGATATAGCTGTGGCAGACCAACGGCACCCAGCAGGCAGGGCCTGGCCTGTCTCCTCAGGCAAGACATTGGCCTTAGGGAGGAACCTTCCATCTCTCCCCTATCCTGCTTCTCTGCTAAACACTAGGCAATGGAGGTGGTGGACGGTGGGAGACAGAAAACCAGACCACAAATATAGCCAGAGTTTTCCTCCTATTGCAGGAAAAGGACTGAAATTTGGCTTAGGCCTCGTTGGAGCTTTTAAGCATTTTCAAAAGGAATATATTTTGGTGACATTGGGCTAGTTCCCAGGGCTTCTGAAAGCCTTAGCTTTTAGAAGTACTACCTTTGGGGGGTAACAAATGAAACTTAGTTTTGGTCACCAAGATGAGATGCAGTCAAGAACGCACACTCAGGGGAGAAGGGTCAGCATCTGGCTCAGGGCCTAGAAGTCCTCAATCAGTAACAGCAAAGGACTGACCAGGGATTTAGACTGAGCCAGTCCATTTTCCTCTTTTCACAGGGGACTAAAGCTGGGCTGTCACCTCTACAGAAGAAGAGAATTGTAACGCTTCTGCCTAGATTCAGGCCCCAAGTTATCCCAAAGATTGCTTCCAGGCAGGACAACAGCTGGAGCAAAGGGCAGTTACTCTGCCAGTCAGAGCAGGTGGTGCCAAGGGAGATGTAAGTCTGTAAAGGGACCTCGGAGCCTTTGCTGGACAGCAGCCATTTTAGCGTACATGAGGATCGGGCAGCTACAGACCCTCGCGGAGGCACAGAGCTCAGTGAGTTAGGAGAGCAAGCAGACAAGGTGATTAACTGAAGCTGAGCTACAGCACGGCCCGGAAGCTCCTGGTGGAGGATGACAGGTCTTATTATATGAATCATTTGGAGAAAACTTCATTTCAGCCTTTAGTTTGACTGATGGCTTAAGCCTAAATAAGTCCTCAACTCTTTTAAAGGATTCTTCAGGGGTCTGAGGCTGGATTTCATTTTTTTTTTTAAATCCAGACGTTGTTCAATTTTCTTAACCCAAAGTACACTCCCACATATCGTAACCTTTTCTTATTTTCCTTGAGCTCCTGATGTCAGGGAGCACAAAATCCAGATTTCCAGTGAGGACCTCTAAGAGTTTTCAGACCTCCAAAGCTTTGAGTTCTGTAAGCAGCCAAGCAGATAGCCAATACCAGTGAACATCTCTCACCTGGACTGTGGGACTGTCTTATCCACAAACAGGAAGATTGCCTTTTCAGAAGGAAGCTGGATCCTTTTCCTGATGATCCACATGAACTGAGCCACAGTGATGTCAGATGGAACTAGATACTTCCGTTTGTCAATGTCAACAATTTGAGAGCCTGAGACTTTTTCCACAATCACCTGGGAAAGCAAAGAGAGGTCAGGACTGGATTTCTAATGTGCAGCTCTGGCCTCGCATTGTTGGGGAGCTGATGAACAGTGTGTGGGCAATGAGGTGGGTGGGAAACTGCATAACATGAGAAAATATGCCCCTGACTTAATAAACCACACACTCTGGAGGCTAAGAACTGATATAAATGTCTTCTAGGGAAACGGTAAATGCTTTTCTGTGGTCAATTATTATATTTCTCATCCCTGATCTCAGCATGCATAAGAGAAACACAGCCCTTACTAGAAAGCTTTTCAACATTTTGTCAGGGGCAGACCGGAGAATATCTGACGAGAGTCTCATCTACTGCCTGTTACTCCAGGACCCCAGAATGGATCTGCATTCACACTACAGAGGAATTAAGATCCCAAGGAACACAGGAAATGAAAATGGATGGACTAATGGGAATGACTGGCAATCCCTGCCAGCCAAGAACCAAGCTCTTCATTTGGCCTGTTGCTTCTCTCTGAACTAGGTTTCGAATGTGTCCCTCCTGCCCCCTCCCCAAAGGAATTGTTCACAAGCAATAAGCTACAATACGAGGCCTGCATGTTGTTTAAAAATCAATAAGGATTACAGAAACTATCTCCCCTATCACAGTAGAAATACAGGATCATATTTATTATTAATTAAAGGGAAACCACGGAAGAAGGGGTTTTCAGCCATTTTTCAGATTTTTTTTGACCAGGAAAGGATAACAGGGTCAGAGTGAGGAAAGGGAGCTAGAAATCAGGTAAAGATGGAGGCTCAAAGTTAAAGATGAATGTCCTGAGACTAAAGTACCACTTCTAAGGCCAAAGTGACAGTCTCCCTCCACCACCGTTCCCAAAAGTGGCGGTGACCTGTTGCCCTGTCCTAGAACATCGTTCCTTACGTAATTGGCGAGGGAGCCCAGAGGCTGCAGACAACTCGGTGGCCTAGATCGGGAGATTCAGCACTGAGGCACCCCGAAGAGCACCAGCTCGAACCCCTCACGCCCTGGCCCCCGGACGGCCCCTAACCCTGTCTGGCCCGTCTGCTACTATAACTGGGACGGAAACTCTAATTGTCAACTGTTGAATGGCTTGGGGCCCTATAACGAGTCCTAGACGATAGGGGTGACAGCGAGGTGAGGGGGCGGGGAGTCCACTCACCGGAACCCGGTCAGGATATTTCGCCCGGATCTTCGCAGATTCCACGCATCTGTGTTCTGTGGGAGAAACACACGGGGCTGACGGTCGCGCCTGCCCGCGGGCTGGTTCCCGAGGCCCCGGACCTCCTCCCCCCGAGACCTGCGCACGCCACGGGCTCCGGTTCGGAAGTCCTGGCGGCCTCGGTCCTCGGTCCCCTGGCTCCTGGCAGAGCCTGCGGATGGCGGCACGAGGTCCGTGGGCAGCTGCCTCGGGGGCTGGGACCTCGGCCACCCGAGCCCAGAGCGCGCGGCATCCACCCTGCCGGGCCCAGCCCAGGGCGGCCTGAGTGGGGGAGGGGGCTCACCGCCGCCCCAGTGCCCACGGCCCCGCCAGGGGCCAAGCGCTTACCCAGCGAGTGGTCCTCCTTGAACATCCACTTCATGGCGGCGGCGGGGAAGGGACGCAGCCGGCTCTCGGAGCCGCGGAGCTCAGAGCACCAACTACAACAACAACGACAGCGGCGGCGGCGGCGGCGACTACAAGACAGGCGGGACTTCCGGCCCCCGGAGCCTAGCAACCGGCCGGGGGCGGGGCTTCCGGCTCCACTTGCCCCTACGCTGCGCCAAGGGGCGGGGCCGCACGCAAAGGGTCGCGGCGAGGGGCCGTCCGGGTAGTGGGGGTGGTGACGTTGGCGACGTGGGCATCTGTGAGCTATGTTGGGCACTGGGGAGGGGACATTCGGGAACTTGGGGACTCAGTGGACGTTGGTAATGGGGAGTTTGAGGGTCTGGCTGCGGATTGGACTTTTATAGAGGGCTGTTCATGAGGGAAGTCTGGGGCGTTGATGACAAGAGGGGGCTTTTGGCGGTATGAATAACAGAAGAGGGGTTTCTGGTGGTTGGTGATAGCAGGGGGAGTCTGTTTAGGGCGTTGACGCTTTGGAGAGTATTGTTTCGTGTGGTAACAGGTTGTGGGCTCAGTACGGGGGTGGGGGGTGATTAGTTTTGGGGGACTGTGTGGGGAGGTACTGATGACAACCCGGGGTTCAGTATTGGGGACAGCCATAATAGGTTGCCTCGGACCTAAAAATTGAATTTAAACAAAACCCATTTCCTCCCTTTACCCATAAATAAATGTTTGAATAAACATTTAAGAAAAAGTATCACAAATATGCATTTGAGGAGTGTTACATCACACTGATCACAGAGACCCCTTAAGCTTAACTGGCTGAGGAGTTAGAGGTGACTATCAGGCTCGGAGAATTCCCGAGAGCTGGTCATGAGACGGGCTTCTTTGGCAGTCAGCGGAGGGTTCAGCAATCCCAGCCCAGACTGTGTGTGTGTGTCACCTGCCTGAGCATATGCTGTGAGGTTCTCCAGTGATGTCATTCCTTTATTCCTAGCAGAGTCATCAGGGCGGTCTGCTCTGGGTCACCATCTGTTTATGAGCTGGTAAATATGTAACAAGAATATTTACTTAATTGGGCACGTGATCCTTGCCACGTGCTTGTAATTCTGATGCAGCTGAAAGACCTGTATGTTTGAACATTGTCATTCATCATTTCCTGCAGTTGAAATTCCTGATGGATGCTGTGGAATCTCGCTTCATTCTAAAAGTATTTTTGTTGTTTTAAGATTGTGTATCTGAGCAACCAAAATAGGTTTTTATTTGCTTGTTTGTTTGTTTGTTTTTAAAGATTTTGTTTTTCCTTTTTCTCCCCAAAGCCCCCTGGTACATAGTTGTGTATTTTTAGTTGTGAGTCCTTCTAGTTGTGGCATGTGGGATGCCACCTCAGCATGGCTTTATGAGCGGTGCCATGTCCACACCCAGATCCGAACTGGCGAAGCCCTGGGCCGCCAAGGCAGAGCACACGAACCCAACCACTTGGCCACGGGGCCGGCCCCTGCTTGCTTGTTTTTAATGAAGTGAAAAATCCTTTGAATTTTATACCTAGAAGTTATTGCTGTTGCTTATAAGAGCACCGTTCTAGGTGTTGGGGAAAAGCAGTGAACAGAACAGACAACACCTCTGCTGTCATGGACTTGCATTCTAGTGGAACAAGGCAGAAAATAAATATGTCAGGTAGTGATAGGTGCTGTTTAGGAAAATAAAGCAGGGCTGGAGACTAGAGGGTGATGGTGGGATAGAATGCTAATTAGATAAAGTGGTTGGCATATTCTAGGAACAAGAAGGCTCCCCTTGTGGCTGGAGGTGAGTAAACAAGGAGGAATGTGTTAGGAGATGAGATCAAAGAGATCTAGAACAAAACTGTGTTGAGCTTTGAATTTCATCTGAAGAACTTTGGATTTTATTTAGAATGAGATGAGAAGTCGGGAGAGTTTTAAACAGAGGTGTGACATGATATAACTTTGGTTTTTAAGTGATCAGGCTAGCTTTTGTGTAGGCAGTAGACTATAAGGGGTTGAGGATGGAAGCAAGGGAAACAGTTAAGAGCCTATTATGATAATCCAGGTGGAAGATAATGTTGGCTTAAACTAAGATGGTGTCCGTGGAAGCAGTGGGAAACAGTTGTATTCTAGATATATTTTGAAAGGAAGGCCAACAAAATCTGCTGATAGATTGGATATGAGGGGTGAGGGACAAGTCAAGTCAAGGTTTTTGGAGAGATGGAATTGCCATTTACTAAAATAGAGTGGAGCTAGCTTAGGAGGGTGAGAATCAAGGGTTTGGTTTTGGATATATTAAGTAGGAGATGCTCAAGAGACACACCCAAGTGTGTGTCTCTTGTGAAGATGTAGAGTAGGTTAATGAATCCATGAGTTTTAAATTCAGGAGAGAAATACTTAAGCTATTGAACTGGATGAGATCAGCTAGAGAGTGAGTGGAAAAAATGAAAATACCTTTTTTGCAAGTAGAATTAAACACTGAAGAGTGAAGATGGTTGTTCACCATCTGATAGTCAGTGAATCAGTGGAGGAGTTAGAAATGGGGCTGAAGATCCCTGCTTCTCCTTACAGACCTGCTCATTGTGTCGTAGTCCAAGTCATGTCTACACCACCTTGCACCGGAAAGAGCTAGTACACTTCTCAGGGGAAAGATCCACCACTCACCCAACTTACAGGCATGTCACCTGATGGGCTCAATGATGTGCAATGCGTTTCTGTCTTCTATCTTTACCTGCTTTCTCGATGTCTTTTTCTAGTTCACCATTCTAATTGGCTTCTCTGATCTGTCTTGATGATATGCATCACCTTCTTTGGGTCATTACATTTAGCTTATTGAATGTTCTAAGAACACTGGATACCTTTCTTGAGGGGGTGGTCAGTTGAAGGGGTGAGTCAGGAGGAGAAATAAGATAATGAATATATGCAATTACACATTAACACTTATAAAACACAATAAATTTCAAATGTTGGCGAGGTATGTGAACATGGATACTGAGGGATGGCTAGGGCAGTGGGGGCGAACACAAAGCCATGGAAAGCTGATCAAGAAAGACTTCACATTAAAAACTTACATTTCTATAACCCAGAATTCTACTCCTTGGTGTGTCCAAGATAAACTTTTGCACGTGTATGCCTGCAGACATATACAAGAATGTTCACTCTGTCATTGTTCATATTGGCAAAAACCTGTAAGCAACCCAAATGTCCACAGACAAGATTATGGATATACAAATTGTAGTACATGCACAGAACGGAAGAGTGTCCAGCAATCAAAATGAAGGATTGACAGCTACCTGCAATAATATTATAATGATTTTTTTCTCTGATCACAAGGTAATAAAATTAACAAGATAATAAAAAATACATTTGGAAACTAAAAAAAAACTTCACAGAGAACGTGAATCTTATGTTTCAGAGAGAAGAGTACATTTTCCAAAGGATAAACTTTCCTTAACAGATAGAAACAAAGGCTCGAGTTGGAAGGGGGAACTGGGAAGCCAAAAGTTCAGCAATATATAGATAAACGCCAAGGTGAAAAAAATGTTGGAAAGCTTTGAAGCAAACATTCAGGAATTCTAGACTGATTCAGGAGACCCTGAATGGGAGCTTCTAGAAAGGAGTAAAACTGGATTAAAATGTGTAGTTTTAAGAGAACAACTCTCTTTGATCTTGGAGATAAATTGTAGGAAACAAGAAAATTATGGAAACTGAGAAGTCAGTTCTCAGTCATGAATGTGTGAAAATGATACAACATACACAGATCTTTAGCATTTTTTAAAAAATCCAATATTCTCTCTTAAAGAATTAAAAACACAGACTAGCTTCCTCAAATCATGGAGACAAAGAGTAAATATTAGTATCCATTATTATTAAATACTTTGGCAAAGCTCCTGGCATTTCAGGGGAGGCTGAAGCACTTCATACACCTAGATTCCTTTTTGTTTTGTTTTTTAATTAATTAACTTATTTATTTTTGGATGTACATCATAATATATTTCAAGTTTTGTGTAGATTACATCATGTTCACCACCCGAAAACTAATTATAGTCCATCCCCTCACATGTGAGCCTAATCACCCGTTTTGCCCTCCCAATATGCCTACATCCTTAACAGTCACTTCCCTCTGTTTCAGAAGTGACCAAGTGACACTAGTTACAGTGTGTGTTCCCTTCTGCTGAAAGGAGGCGCTTTGGAGCAAACACCTCCTTCCTCAGAATAGATCCACCCTCAGGATACAACAGTAGAACCATCTATCCTAGAATCTTGTTTTAATGGTTATTTAAATAAATGAAAGTCATCCACTTAAAGCAGAGATACAATATAATGTCAGAATCATAACATAGATTTAAGCCTAACAATTCCTGTATTTAAGAGCTGTGTTGCCATCCCAGAAAAGCTTTAAATCGGGAATGAGCAGTACTGGACTGGATATGTCAAAAGCATCTTATGGCTGATGACATTGTCACCTTGGACTATGGTAAGAACCCTGGATAGTTTTTCCAAATGGGCAGGTCTCGACCTCTCTCTGTTTGTGTTGTTAGGATCTCAGCTGTTCTCTTCATCTAAAAACCACTTTTAGGTTGCCTTCAAAATAGGGTCATCGGGCTGCCTGGTGGCATAGCGGATAGGTTTGAGCGCTCCGCTTCGGAGGGATCTGAACCCAGGGTTGGCAGGTTCAGATCCCAGGTGTGTAAGGTTATCAAGCCACGCTATAGCAGGCGCCCACATATAACATAGAGGAAGATGGGAACAGATGTTAGCTCGGGGCAATCTTCCTCAGCAAAAAGAGGAGGATTGGTGGCGGATGTTAGCTGAGGGCTAATCTTCCTCAAAAACAAAACAAAACAAAACAAAACGAGGGGGACATCGACTGCGGGACTCCACTCCGAGCACAAATCTCACACTATCTCTTGGCACTGCAGGGTGATCCTTCAGGGCCTTTTGATGAAGAACGGGCTGTGAACCACGGTAAAGAGAAAATCCTTCTGCCGTGTTCCAAATACTGGTTTGGGGGAGGCGAGGGTTGGAAGCATTCAATTAAGTGATAAGCAAGTGTTATCTTTGGGGAGGACCGTAGCTTCCCCTAAAACCGGGGAAGCTTGTACCCAATAAACGGTAACAAAGTATAGCAGAGAGAGCTATGTAGTAATTATCATTTATCCCACGAAGAGCTGCGAGATTTGTGTCCTGTTTCCGTGTTTGTCCTGTCATGGAGTAGAGTGAAAGCAACAGAAACTTTGGAGACAAAGGGACCTGGCTTTGGTCTTAGCCCAGGACCAGAGCCAGGACCACGGCCACATTTATGTTCTGTGTGTTTTCCTCCAATGTAGGGTGTGCTGTGGCTGGTTAGACTACACCGGGGATTAACAGATGACACATAAACGGGTATTTGCTTTAAGGCAACTTTTAATGAAAACCTTATTTTACACAAGTGTTAACACGGGCGACCGCTACAATTTTGGTGCACAGAAACAATCTATTACCACTCAGCCTTTGGGGAAACGTGCGTAACACGTAAAGCAGGTCGAGCGTCCACAAGCGGGAGCCGCCCCCGCCAGCCCCGCCCCTACCGTGGCCCCGCTTCCTTGCTATTGGTTCCTTTCCCTGCGCCGTCGGTTGCCGTGGAGACCACGGCTATGGCAACTAGAAGAAGCCAAACTTAGTCGTTCCTCTCGAACCGCGGAGAGGTCCCCAGCGCGCTGGGCGACTCCGCGGGGGGCTCATGGCGCTCTACGAGCTCTACTCTCACCCGGCCGAGCGCGGTTACCGCGCGGGGCTCTGCTCTAAGGCCGCGCTGTTCCTGCTGCTGGCCGCCGCGCTCACCTACATCCCGCCGCTGCTAGTGGCCTTCCGGAGCCACGGTGAGCCTGACCCCCGGCCGGTGCGCGGCACAGCTCCCCGCGGCGCCCTGGCCGGCCTTCCTGACTTCCTCCCCACCGCCCTCCCGCCCTCTTTACCTCAGGGTTTTGGCTGAAGCGGAGCAGCTACGAGGAGCAGCCGACTGTGCACTTCCAGCACCAGGTGCTGCTCGTGGCCCTGCTGGGATCCGAGCGCGACGGCTTTCTCGCCTGGAGCACGTTCCCCGCCTTCAACCGGCTGCAGGGGGATCACCTGCGCGTCCCGCTCGTTTCGGTGCGTGGTTCCCGCCCTTGTCGAGCAGCCCCCCGGGACTGGGCGGGGGGAGAGGGGTGGCGAGCTGCCCGGCCTCAGCCGCGGGGACCCCAGCGTGGTGCTTAAGGCTTCGTGAACCCACGCAAGTTGTGTGCCCAGGCTCGTTGGCCTGAGCATGTTTAATTTCCTTGGGGGATACAGTCGCTTGTGTCATTCAACTTCTCCAAGCCGTCCCCAACCCCAAGAAGGTTGGCCACTGCTGTCAGTGTCTGCGTCTTGACACAGAGTCCAGGAGACTGGGGACACCCTGTCTCTGGCCCCGTCATCTCCGTGGGCCTGGCCTGATGGAAGGGTGGTCGGGGAAGTTCGTGAGTCCTGAAGGCGGAGCAGTATTCCTGTTAGAACCCCATCGTGTCGCCGCAGTTGTGCGTCGCCACAGGGTGGGAACGCGAGGGGCAGGCGTTTTTATGCAGATGAAGGCCAAGGCGCTGATTGGTTCCGCCACCTCCCCAGAATGTCGCGCGGCCCAGTCCCTGCGCTTGTCTCATTAGATGCTGCATCCTGCAGCTGTCCAGGACGAAAAGGAAGCATGTTACTGTCTGTAATGTAGTCTTTGGTTCAGGATAAGTGAGTGCTTCCTTTACCGTCATCCCTTTCCGCTCATTTTCTGAAAACGTTTTCCTTCAGAAGTATGAAAATTCTGGTTTTCCTTTTTCCAAAGTTGAATCTCTACACATGTCTGAGATGACTGGCCTACAAGCCAAACTTGTGTAGCTAAAGAAAAAGAAATTCAGACTTTTTTCCAGCAACTAAATAACATGAAAAAAAATTAATTCTGATTGTTATATGAGTAACTACAAACAAACTATGATTCAGATTAGTTTTTTTCTGATTCTTTAAATTTTCTTTTTTTTTTTCTGATTATAAAAATGCATGCTCATTGTAAAGTATTAGAGTTACAGGCATACAGAAAGGCATAAAATTAAAGGCTCAGTTTGGGGGCCAGCCCAGTGGTGCAGCGGTTAAGTTTGCACGCTCTGCTTTGGCGGCCTTGGGTTCGCTGGCCCGGATCCCGGGTGCGGACATGGCACCGCTTGGCATGCCACGCTGTGGTAGGCGTCCCACATATAAAGTAGAGGAAGATGGGCACGGATGTTATCTAGGGCCAGTCTTCCTCAGCAAAAAGAGGAGGATTGGCAGTAGTTAGCTCAGGGCTAATCATCCTCAAAATAAATAAATAAATAGAATTAATTAAAAAAAATCTTTAAAAAAAGGCTCAGTTTGGTATGTGTATCAATACATTTAACCTTATTCTTTTTTAAATATCCTAGCTTTTCTTTTTCTTTTCTTTTTTTGGTGAGGAAGATTGGCCCTGAGCTAACATCTGTTGGCAATCTTCCCTTTTTTTTTTTTCTCCTCAAAGCACCAGTACATAGTTGTATATCCTAGTTGTAAGTCATTCTTGTTCCTCTCTGTGGGATGCCACCACAGCATGGCTTGATGAGCAGTGCCATGTCTGTACCCAGGATCCTAACCGGCAACCTGGGCTCTCCAAAGTGGAGCGTGCAAACTTAACCACTCAACCACAGGGCCGGCCCCCTAACCTTAGCCTTTTTAAGGTCTGCAAAGTATTTCATGACATGGAAAACCTGTAATGGATCTAATCAGTTCCCTCTTGATGGATATTTGATTTGCTTTTACTTTTTCACTATTAGCATATTGCAGTGAGCAAGATTTTGAATAAATCTTACACCTTTAACCATTAAATTGTGAGGAATTGGAATAGAAGCTGTTTGTTGAAATTGTGTAAGTACATAGAAAACTAAGCAAGCAAATAAAATAATTATTAACGCCAGAGAAATAAAAAGGAAGGAAAAGTGAGAAAGGAAAAGTAATCAGAGTTGTGAATGGGATTTACGTAGTCATAATTATGTGGACACTGAATATTGACTAAACAAAAGGAGATGGGAAGGGGGTGTGTGTGTGTGTGTCTGTCTGTCTGTCTGTGTCTGTGTTGGGGGCTAGTGGGAGGTGAGGGAAAGAAAACTAAATCTTCATCTTTCCTTGTGGGAAGTCAAGTCAAGAAAGAATGCCTGAAACTGAGAAATCAAGAAGTGCCACTTCAAATGTTGTTTAAGACATGGAAATACATTTCTAAATAATCAGATAAATGAGATTAAAATATTTGTTATGGGAGTGGAAGTCTGTTTTTTGTAACAGATATGGTTGAACAATTTGATTCTTTAAGCGCTTAGGTCTTTTAAATTGATTTTAAAAATAGAATTGGAGTAGGAGACAGATTTCTTTGAATAGCTCCTCACGAATCATGACATGTTGCTCATTTTTATTCCTGTTTGAGATTATAATACCTCTGGGGAAGGGTGAGTGGATGAGAGGCCAGTGCTGAGGTATGCTTGCTTTTCATTGTATACCCACTGTACTTCTGGTGTTCCGTGTGCATGTGTTTCCTTTCCAAAAGTGGAAACAAAAGGGTTTTTTTTATTCCAAATAAACAAAAAATTAACTTAGTTTTACTTTAGGTTAGAATTCCCTGTCTTAAATTTTTAGTAGCAACTTTTACTTTACATTTGTGTATCGCTCTCTATCATACTCTTCTGGTTGCTTGAGTCTAAGAAATAATCATGAAAACTTAGTATAATCGTGAAAACAGGGAAATAGCATGAGGTTTCATTCATTGGTTCTTTTCACTTGTTGATCCACCACAACTGTTTGGCTCCCCACTTGGACTGCTAGTTAGCCTCTTATCTCTGTAACCAGAAACTGCTCCCCTGAGAGCACTGCCCATGTTCCCCCCGCTTCTGGTGTGTGTGGATTCCGATTTTAAATCTATGAAGCCAAGACTACCTCTTATGTTTTTTGTTGCCCGGAACCATTAATCCTCTTTCATACTGCCTAATTTAATACTGTAAAACACCAAACCAAAGCTCATTTTTCTTAGTCTTCTTTCCCCCTTCATTCTAGGCCAGTGTCTATAAGTAATGTATGGCCTTCTTATCTACAGTCTTTCTCAGTAAATGATTTGCTTCCTGCCTGGCTGAGCTTTTGGTTTGAGAATAGTTTGAAATCATGAGATACAAAAAATGAGGAGAGGCAGTGGAAGTACAGACCTCAGTAGCACCCCAAAAGAGAAACTACTTGGGAACAAACTGAAGAAATGCACAAGATGCGTAGGAATAAAACTTTAAAAGAGTGCTGAAAGACACAAAAGAGAAAAGAAAAAGATGATAATTTATGTCATGTTCTTGGCTAGGAAAATTCAACATCGTAAAGATGTCTGTTCTCCCTAAATACGTCGATAATTTTAATGCAATCTCAATGAAAACATAATTTGGAGGGAAAGAGAAACAGACATATGGAAAAATAAAAATTCTAGGAGAAAAAGAAGGATTATACAAGAAGAATAGCACTACCAGATATTAAACTATACCTTGAAGTTGTAATAAGTAAAGCAGTGTGGTTTGGGGACTTGTATAGAAAATATGGAAATGGACACATATGACAAAAGTGGCATTTAAAATCCGTGTGGAAAGATGACAATAAAATGGTGTTGGGACAACTGGGAAGCCATCTGGAAAAAGTAAAGATGAAGTCAGTCCTCAGATGGTACACCAGAATTAAAGTCCAGATAAATCAAAATTACATTTAAAATATGAAATCAGTAAAGTACGGAAACAAATGATGAGCGAAAGCTTTTATATCTTGGAGTAGGAAAGGCCGTTCTAAGTATGACATAAAATCCAGAAGCTGTAAAAGAAACATTTTTGATAAATACAACTATATAAAAATAATTTTAAAAATTACTGGCATGCTGAAAACCATAAGCAAAGTCAAAATACAGTTATAACTAGGAAAAATGTTTTACCATTTGTGTCACTGTAAAGGGCTAATTTTCCAAACAAAGTGCTTGCAGATCAATAGTTAAAACACCAAGTACCTAATAGAGAAATGACAAAGAATATGAATAGTTTCTAGAAAAGGAAACATAACTCTTAAACATATGAGATCTCACTCATAATTAGAGAAATGCAAATTAAGGGTACATTGAGATACCATTTTTTATCTATCAAATTTGCAAAAATACAAGTTTGGTGACATTGTGGGCAAGACATAAGGAAGCATGTAAGCATTCCTGTACAGTTGTGTGCTGCATATAACGACATTTCAGTCAACGATTGACTGCATATACCATCAACTGTGGTCCCATGAGATTAGCACCATCTAGCCTAGGTGTATAGTAAGCTATACTGTCTAGGTTTGTGTAAATACACTCTGTGAGATTCACACAATGACGAAATCACCTGAGGACACATTTCTCAGAACATATTTCTGTCATTAAGCAACACATTCCTATATATCACTGGTAGGAGTGTAGATTGGTACAACCTCTTTGAAGGACTGTTTGTCCATATTGGCAAAATTACTTATGCATGTGCCTACTTCTCCTTCTAGTAAGGTATCCTAAGGTTTGTGCACATAGGTGAAATGACATATAAAAAGTTGCTTATTGCAGCATTGTTTGTAATATCAAAAGATTGTAAACAACCTACATAGCAATAGAAGACTCATTAAAGAAATTGTGGTACATTTACCCAGTGGAATGTTACATAGCTATTTTTTTTTTTTTTAAGATTTTATTTTTTCCTTTTTCTCCCCAAAGCCCCCCGGTACATGGTTGTATATTCTTCGTTGTGGGTCCTTCTAGTTGTGGCACGTAGGACGCCGCCTCAGCATGGTTTGATGAGCAGTGCCATGTCCGCACCCAGGATTCGAACCAACGAAACACTGGGCCGCCTGCAGCGGAGCGCGCGAACTTAACCACTCGGCCACGGGGCCAGCCCCCATAGCTATTTTTTTAATGAAATGGATCTCTATATACTGACGTGGAATTATCTCCAAGAGAAACAGACTGTGTCTTCCTGTCTGTGGTGTCCTCTAATAGCTGTTCGACAAGAGACAGGTTTGGCATAGTCCTCATTGCCTACACATGTGCAAATGTCAAACATGCCAGCACCAAAACTTGCAGAAGGGACATCAGCAACTTGAAAGAAAACCCCAGAGACGATAGTAAAACGTTGTTGTTTTCAGCTTTATTGAGGTATAATTGACAAAATAGTAAGATAGTAAAACACTGTTTTAACCCCTAAGAACCCAATGGAGAGCAGGTAGGGGAAGGTTCAAGAGGCATTTAAAAATAGGCTAGCTCTACGCAATTTTAAAGCCTGCTTAAGAGCCTAGACCAACGGATTTTAGCTCCCTTTATGGATTGTATTTTAAAATGCTTTATAATCAATGTGCTTGATGGCACAAAGGACAAAATTACATAGAATAGTTCGGATATCACTGAGTCAAAAAGTGATTCAAAAGAATCAATGTAAAGAAGTTTTGGGAATCCCTGGATCAATTTATTTTGCTTATATTTTTGTATGTGCAGAAATATGATATCTGATATAAATATGCTGAAGTCTAAAAGCTCCTTCAATAAGTACAAAATACTCTGATTAGAAAGCATTGTGTCATAGTTTAATTGGAAATATTTTTTCTGTCTTACAGGAATATAAAATAATGGTGCAGTTTACAATTGATGGTACCTTAGATTCATTGAAATACAGGTAGCAAGGATTTGATGAGTCTAAGAGCCATGAAGTAGTGATCCCTGCTTTGCTACAGACCCAAAGACTGCCAAAGAGAATTTTCAGCATAAAAAGAAAAAATGGAACACCCAATGATGACAAATATATGGTAAAATGGACACTGGTATAAAATAGAAAATTAACCTTTAATAAGAGAATAGTGACTCAAAAGATTGAAAACAAACAGAAACCAAACAAAATTCCAACAAACCATCAGATACTATAGAATCCATGGTGGAAAAAATGTTGCAAGTCAGGGCACTCCGGAAACAATGGCTCTCCTTAAATTTACAGCTGCTCTTACAGTCAGATGGTGTGCTGTTATGAGGTCTTGTGTCAGCTCCAAACACACCCTCTCATACTCTGCTTTGTGATGCTCACACTGAGATGCTGAAAACCACATTCTCCTTTGCCCACTGGCTCCCTGTTAGGCTCTGCCAGTAGGAGGCATGATGAGCCTTGTTCTGGGAGTGGAAAAAAACTGGAAACTGCTGCCAGTGGCTGCTCCCACGGTGAAGAATCATTGTCGGGGTGATGCAAACAGGAAGGAGTCTTTCCTTCAGCCTTATCGATTCCCTCTTGCGGGTTTTTCCTGCAAGCTCCAGAGGTGCCAGCACTAGCTGAGCAGCACTCCCTTCTTGAGGTCTGAGTCCCAGCTCCTTAAGGGAATGCCAACCTCTTCCCTTTCTTCTCCAGCCCTAGGCACGGGAGCTGCTTCCTGCAGGCACCTTCTCTGTGTTAGCACAGCATTCCCTTTGTCCTTTAATACCTGTATTACCAATTATTTCCTATACTAAATTCTGTTAAAATCGCTGTTTAGTTTCTGTTTTCCTGGTTGGACCCTGATTGATACAGGTGCACTGATAGGCATTGAGTAAATCCAACAATGCCTAGTATATTAGTATTGATTTCACACATACCTGTAAAGCCTTATCCTGCTTTAACCACCAGAAATCTTTTAAATTAGTGTTCTCGTAGGCTGTTATAGAAGGAGCACTGAATCAGGGGTCAGCAAACCTAGAACCTAGCCCCAGTTCTGTCATGGGGTTCCATACCCTCTTTCAGCCTCAATGTAACTATCTATATAAAGAGCATGATAGTATCTACCTTTCTAATTATTATTATTGGTAATAATACTTCTCTCCTGGGGTATGCACAGAGATCAGATGAGACAATCACTGGATATAAAAATTGTTCCAAGTTGCACAGATACCTTATAAAAATAAGGTGATGGTGTGATTTATGAATTCTCTTAGCTAGATACACCCATTGGATTTTAGATACTAACTTTGAGCTTGTGTTAAAGAAGTATTAGCTGTTTGATTGCCTACCTTTATGGCTGTTGCACATGTGTTAAGCCTGATTTGAACCAAATGGCATTAAGTAATTGATTTCATCAGTAGTCCAGGTGATAACAAATGTAGCCCACCTCCTCAGCCCTGTGGGAGGGAGTCGACCTTGGTGATAGGTCATTATGGGGGATGCACCGTTTGCATCATCGCTTACCCTCACAGCTCTCTCCTGGCCGTCATCCTTCACCACCTCTGTCTCAGTCTGCTCAGCTGCACTGGCCTCGCCGCACTCTCTCAAACACTCACCCGCTTTTACTCAGAGCACATGCACTTTGTTAGCCTGGATCACTCTTTCCCCAGATATTTCTGTGCCTCGTCGCCTCACTTCATTCAGGTCTCTGACAGTTAGGTCTTCCTGAATATTGTCTGTAAAAATTTCTGTAAAAATCTACCTTGTCATTCTCTAATTTTAGTCTGCTTCATTTTTCTTTGTGGCACTTATCACCACCTGATATCTATTTGTTTATTGATTTATTTTCTGCCTCCCTGGCCAGGAATGTCAGCTCCATTTGAGTGGGGACTTTGTCTATTTTGTTTGCCATTGTTCCCAGCACCTGAAACAGTGCCTAGCACATAGTAGGCCCTCAAAAAATCCTTGACAAATTAATGAGTGAATTTAACAAGTAGACACTAATGGCAGTGCCGTGCCAGATCTCTGTTCTCTGTGAACTTGGAATAAAAGTGTGTACATGAACAAGTATACAGACTTACGCTGGTACTTTTGATGATGATGTTTTACAAAAAGATTTGTCCTGTCCTACCCAACATCTTCTCTTTGGTTTTTTTTTTTTTTTTTTTTGAGTATGGGCATTTTAGTCCTGGAAAGAGGACCAGATTTGAAGTCAAAGGCATGATTTCAAATTCTGTCTTTACCATTACTCGCCATACCCAATAAATCCCTTAACCTCTGTGAGCCTCAATTTTCTCATCTATACAATCGGGATAATACTTGCTTTGCTTACCTTAGGCTTATTGTAAAGATCAAATGAAATGCCTTTCTCTCCCCCCGCCACTGTGTTGGAGTCTGAATTCTTCTGGCAATTTCCTCCTGACCACTGTCCTTTCTTGCAAGTTGAGACATTTGATCTTTGTCTTCCTGTCCAACTCTAAAGGTCCAGAAGGCATGGATCCACTACAGAGAGTTAACCCGACTTTGTCTTCCAAGTCTTCCCAGATACCAACTGAAGAAAATTCACAGGAAGACAAGGCAGCCTCTTTTCCATCCTGCTCATAATTGCTAATACGTAATCGCCTCTGTAACTTGATCATCAGCCGTGGTAGCAGATAGCCCTCCCCTGCACCTGCGGAGCTGATGAAACAGGACAGAAAAAAATAGTATCCAACAGAAGAGAAGGGTAGTTTTCTCCATAGCTAGGCCTAGGATAAGGACATTATTGTCTAGAAGGAAAAAATGATTGAAAGGTTCTGAAAACTGAGATATCTCCATCTCAAAAGACCTTATTAGCCTGAAAAAGAACAAAGATCTCTTCCTCACATAATGGTGTTGGTGGAAAGCAAAATGAATCAGTAGATGGAGAATTCAGATGGGGATGTTGATATAGCATAGTAGAATCTTTCTGGGAACCTACAGTGGGAAAGGATCAGTTGTAGCAACAAAATCCAGTGTTGTGCCAAGGAATCGTGTCAGCAGTATCACATTTCAGGAACCATCCTTTCCTCCTAGTCATTTTAGGATCACTAGGAGGCAAGATTATGGATGGCAAAACTGGATACCACTGTTTTTTTATGAGCTGTAATTTGTCTTTTTCCTTCTTCAGATCTCTACTATCCGTACTTTCATGTCCATAATTTATAGAGTATCTGTGTCGTTTTAATGCCTTACCAATTTTACTTAGCTTCCTTTTTCATTTTATTGATTTGTACTAAAAGATGCACTTGGCTTTAAAGTCCTGACATCAGTGATGAGATGAGGTCCAACAATGAGAATCTGAAGCAAAGATGCTTGTGGTTAAAGAAGATATAAATAGAGCTTGGTGTTTTTCTGCTGAGTCGTTTTGGGGAAAGTGTAATGATTAGTATGAGTTTTTTTTCTATTTTAAAAAGTTGACTTCTAGACAAGTAGAGGACAATTGTAATGTGCTATTTAAATTTTCTGTACAAACTCTGGCTCATCTATAAAAAAGAAAATCCCAGCAACAAAACAAACAAGAGATCAAATGAGACAACTGAAAAAGAAAAATGCCATCCTGATGTATATTGTTACTGCCACTTCCAGTTGCTGTTCATTTTGGCCCTTGAATAGTTGAGAAGCGCAAGTATGAAGTTCAGGGGCCATGCACACTGTCTCTCTTTCCCCAGTATTGATCCACTTCTACCTATTTATGTTTCTCTTTTTTTTTCTATGAGAGAGAGAGTACCTGTGTATGGCAGAACAATGGATCATGTGTATGTACAACAGTGATATGGATATTTCCCGACTTATTAAGGACCAGGGTCACTGGGCCTCTTTGGGTTTCCTAGACTAGAGAAGAAGACAGAAACCAGGATGGGAAGATGGACGTGTTACATTTTAAACTGGAGCTACCCCTGCAGTCCACGGAGCACGTTGTTGCTGTGCAGCTCATCTTGACTTTCTCCTACCAATTGCACGTGAGTCAATTCCTGAGGGAAGCCCTTCCTCTCCCTTTTGTCTTTTAAAGAACAGAGCCCTCATTCTGTTTCTAGGAAAGCCCACACTGTAAAAGGCTCTTTTCTGAGGTGTAATTTGGGATTTAACTGAAGCAAATTAAATGTTTTTCACTGGTGTCGTATTAATATATATGAGCTATTAATAGCATAAAGGGTGTTCGGCAGAGTGCTTCCTGCATAGCTAACCCAGGTGTATGAGGGACTATTAGGCTTCAGCCACAGACAGGTGACACTCAGAACCCAGAGATCTTCAGATCTCACCAAAGTTGGTATTGTTTCTCACTCTAATGATTTCAGAGGATGTCAACATTCGTGATGCAGAGCATGGCATTTCTCCAATCCTCCTTCGCTGTTCCAGGGTCCCAGTTATATGTGAACGGAGACCTGAGGCTGCAGCAGAAGCAGCCTCTACACTATGGTGGCCTAGATGTTCGATACAATGTAAGAATGCTTCTTATTGTTCATCTCCTTTGTTTCTATATGTTAGTGATTATCAAATCCTTTGAAGAAGGAGAAAAGAAAGTTGGAAATAGCATTTCTCTGTGGGTGGCATAAAAGAGGATTTCTGAGGAATTCTTGCCATAGTTCAAAATATAGTGACAGATATGCCTGTATTTACATCTAGAAAGAGAGAAAAAAAATCTTTGTCTAAGAACCAAATTGTTTATTGTTTTTGGGTACACACACACAAATGGCTTATTTCAAGTTATCTTTTTCAGTTCATGTAAAACATTTGAAAAATAATAACAACCATCGTGTTTCTCTTTTTGTTCATTTTGGGGTTTTTTTGGTGAGGAAGATTGGCCCTGAGCTAACATCCATGTCCAGTCTTCCTCTTTTTGCTTGAGAAAGATTGTCCCTGAGCTAACATCTGTGCCAATCTTCCTCTATTTTGTGTGTAGGACGCCACCACAGCATGGTTTGATGCGTGGTGTGTAGGTCCACACCAGGATCTGAACCTGGGAACCCTGGGCCGCCCAAGCAGGGTACATGAGCTGAACTACTATGCCACGGGGCTGGCCCCTAACTGTCGTTTATTAAGCATGTAACTTATGCCAGCTCTGAGTTAAGGGGTTTAATTATATCGTCTCCTCTAATCATCACAGCAACCTCAAAAGATGCCTACAGTTGTCATTTCCCAGCTCTCCATCTGCTCATCCCATCATTGTTCCCCTTGCTGCTTTATAGCCATACTGGCCTTTTTGCTCTTCTTCAGACCCACAAAGCAGCTCCAGCCTGAGGGCGTTTGCACCTGCCTTTCCCTTAGCCAAATATCCACATAGCTTATTCTGCCACACAATTCAGGGCCCTTTTCAAGTGCCCCTGAGCACAGTCCTTCCAGACACTTCTTTCTTTTTTTTTTTTTTAAAAAAGATTTTATTTTTTTCTCCCCAAAGCCCCCCCGGTACATAGTTGTATATTCTTCGTTGTGGGTTCTTCTAGTTGTGGCACGTGGGACGCTGCCTCAGCGTGGTTTGATGAGCAGTGCCATGTCCGCGCCCAGGATTCAAACCAATGAAACACTGGGCCGCCTGCAGCAGAGCGCAAGAACTTAACCACTCGGCCACGGGGCCAGCCCCCAGACACTTCTTTCTAAAATAGCATTCCCCTCTCTCTGCATCATCCCTCACTCTGATATACTTTTCTTACTCTCATCTGAAATATGAAAGGTATGTTTTTGGCTTGTTTATTTGCTGTCTCCCTCAGTGGTGAAAGCACTGACATCTTCTATACTCTCACCCCAGTGCCTGAAACAGTGCCTGGCACATTGTACCCACTCGGACAGGTTTGCTGAAGGAATGAGCTCTCATTTTACACATGAGGAGACTGGGGCTTCCAGGGATTAATTAATTTTCCCAAAGCGCCACAGTTTGAAAGTCACAGGGCCATGAATTGTCTGAGGCCAGATCACATGTATGTGTTTACTCATTACTAATCTTTATTTTATTACAAGGGGGCCCATATAAGTTGGGCTTGGCTACTTTGGAAAATAAAAGAGAGATACTATCAGTTACTAGAGATATAAACCTGGAGTAGGATTTATGGTCACCCTAGCTCGTAATCAACCTAAGTTGAAAAAAAAGAGGAAGACTGTAACACATAAACTTAACATGGCACTTTTTTTTTGCTTGGGAAAGGTCTTTGCTGGTTTTTTGTTTTTTCAGCTTTGTTGAGGTATGATTGACAAAATGATAAACTATTTAAGTATACATTGTGATAATTTGATATATGTGTACGTTGTGAAAGGATTCCTCCCGAGTTAATTAACATGTCCATCACGTCACATATTTATCTTTTTCATTTATTTATGAGAACATCAAAGTTCTACTCTCTTAGTAAATTTTAATTGTACAATATATTATTATTAATTATAGTTATCATGTTATATGTTAGATCCTCAGACCTTATTCATCTTATATCTGAAAGTTTATTAAAGATTTTATTTTTCCTTTTTCTCCCCATATCCCCCGGGACATAGTTGTATATTTTCAGTTGTGGGTCCTTCTAGTTGTGACATGTGGGACGCCACCTCAGCACAGCCTGATGAGCGGTGCCATGTCCGTGCCCAGGATCTGAACCGGTGAAACCCTGGGCCACCAAACTGGAGCACATGAATTTAACGACTCGGCCCCGGGGCCGGCCCCTAGCTGAAAGTTTATACCCTATTATCAGACTCTCCCTATCTCCCTCACCCCTCAGCCCCTGGCACTTTTCTACTCTGTTTCTATAAGTTTAACTTTTTATTTAGATTCCACATATAAGTGATACCATGCAGTATTTGTCTTTTTATGTCTGGCTTATTCCACTTAGCATAATATACCTCAAGGTCCACCCGTTTTGTTGCAAATGGCAAGATTCCCTTCTTTTCATGTCTGAATAATATTCCATTGTATACGTATATCACATCTTCTTTATCCATTCATTCATTCAGTGACAGACTCTTAGGTTTTTTTCCGTATTTTCACTATTGTGAATGATGCTGCAAAGAACATGGGAGTGCAGATATCTCTTCACTATCTTGTTTTCATTTCCTTTGGATATATACCCAGCAGTGGGATTGCTGGATCATATGGTAGTTCGATTTTTAATTTTTTTAAGGAACTTCCATACTGTTTTCTATAGTAGCTGCACCAGTTTACATTCCCACCAACATTGAACAAGGGGTCCCTTTTCTCCACATCTTTACCAAGACTTGTTGTCTCTTGTCTTTTTTATAACAGCCATTCTAATGGGTGTGAGTATCTCATTGTGGGTTTTTTCTCCCCCAAAGATTGGCACCTGAGCTAACAACTGTTGCCAATCTGCTTTTTTTTTCTTCTTCTTCTTCTTCCCAAAGCCCCCCAGTACATAGTTGTATATTGTAGCTGTAGGTCCTTCTGGTTGTGCTATATGGGATGCAACCTCAGCATGGCCTGATGAGCAGTGCCATGTCTGCACCCAGGATCCGAACCGGGCTGCCAAAGTGGAGCACGTGAACTTAACCACTTGGCCATGGAGTGGCCCCTCATTGTGGTTTGATTTGCATTTTCCTGATGATTAGTGTGATGTTAAGCACCCTTCATGTACAGGCATACCTCACAGATATTGTGGGCTCGGGTCTAGACCAACTCAATAAAGCTAATATCACAATAAAGCAAGTCACACAAATTTTTTGGTTTCCCAGTGCATATAAAGGTTATGTTTATACTATACTGTAGTCTAAGTCTGCATTATGTATAAAAAGTTGCTGAAGTCTTGAACCCCTCAAAGTCATGCATGAGAGCTGGAATCAACTTCCTCCAAACTCCTGTTAATGTTGATATTTTGACCTCTTCCCATAATTCACTAATGTTCTTATTGGCATCTAGAATGGTGAATTCTTCCCAGAAAGTTTTCAATTTACTTTGCCCAGATCCATCAGAGGAATCACTATCTTTGGCAGCTATAGCCTTACAAAATGTATTTCTTAAATAATAAGACTTGGAGCTGGCCCGGTGGCACATTGGTTAAGTTTACACACTCTGCTTTGGTGGCCCAGGGTTCACAAGTTCAGATCCCGGTCGCAGACCTACAGACCACTCATCAAGCCATGCTGTGGAGGCATCCCACTTACAAAATAGAGGAAGATTGGCACAGATGTTAGCTCAGGGTCAGTCTTCCTCACCAAAAAATAAATAAATAACAACAACAGTAAGAAGAAGACTTGAAGTCAAACTTACCCCTTGATCCATGTGCTACAGAATGGGTGTTGTGTTAGCAGGCATGAAAACAACATTAATCTCATTGTACACCTCCATCAGAGCTCTTGGGTGACCAGGTGCATTGTCACTAAGGGGTAATATTTTGAAAGGAATCTTTTTTTCTGAGTAGTAGGTCTCAACACTGGGCTTAAAATATTCAGTCAACCATGTTGTAAACAGATGTGCTGTCATCCAGGCTCTGTTGTTCTACATATAGAGCACAGGCGGAGTAGATGTAGCATAATTCTTAAGGGCCCTAGGATTTTCAGAATGGGAAATAAGCACTGGCTTCCACTGAAAGTCATCAGCTGCATTAGCCCCTAACAAGAGAGTTAGCCTGTCCTTTGAAGCCAGGCACTGACTTCTCCTCTGTAGCTGTGAAAGTCCTAGATGGAATCTTCTTCAATGTACTGCTGTTTCGTCTGCATTGAAAATCTGTTGTTTGGTGTGGCCTCCTCCATTAATTACCTTAGCTGGATCTTCTGGATAACTCGCTGCAGCTTCTCCACCAGCACCCGCTGTTTCACCTGCACGTCTGTGTCGGGAGACGGCTTCTTTCCTCAGACCTCATAACCATCCTCTGCCAGCTTCAAACTTTTCTGCAGCTTCCTCACCTCTCTCAGCCTTCACAGAACTGAAGAGAGTTAGGGCCTTGCTCTGGATTAGACTCTGGCTTAAGGGAATGGTGTGGCTGTCTTGATCTTCCATCCAGACCATTCAAACTTTCTCCAGATCAGCAACAGGGCTATTTCACTTTCTTATCATTTGTGTGTTCACTGGAGTAGGACTTGTAATTTCCTTCAAGAACTTTTCCTTCGCATTCACAACTTGGCTAACTGTTTGGCACAAGAGGCCTAGCTTTCAGCCTGTCTCAGCTTTCGACAGGCCTTCCTCACTAAGCTTAATCATTTCTGGCTTTTGATTTAAAGTGAAAGGTGTGTGACCCCTCCTTTCACTTGAACACTTAGAGGCCATTGTGGGGTTATTAATTGCCCTAATTTCTATATTGTGCCTTAGGGAATAGGGAGGCCTGAGGAGAGAGAGAGAGATGGAGGAATAGTCGGTCAGTGGAGCAGTCAGAACACACACAACATTTATTGATTAAGTTCATAGTGTTTTATGGGCGCAGTTTGTGGTGTCTCAAAACAATTACAATAGTAACATCAGAGATCAATGATCACAGATCACCATAACAAGTATAATAACAATGAAAAAGTTTGAAATATTACAAGAATTGCCAAAATGTGACAGAGAGATGAAGTGAGTAAATGCTGTTGGAAAAATAGCGCCAGTAGACTTGCTCAACACAAGGTTGCCACAAACTTTCTATTTGTAAAAAACACAGCATCTGGGAAGTGCAATAAAGTGAAGCACAATAAAATGAGGTATGCCTGTACTGGTTAGTCATCTGTAGGTCTTCTTTGGGAAAATGTCTATTCAGTTCCTCTGCCCATTTTTTAATCAGATTGTTTCTTTTTTTGAGGAAGATTAGCCCTGAGCTAACTACTGCCAATCCTCCTCTTTTTGCTGAGGAAGACTGGCCCTGAGCTAACATCTGTACCCATCTTCCTCTACTTTATATATGGGACACCTACCACAGCATGGCTTTTGCCAAGCGGTGCCATGTCCTCACCCAGGATCCGAACTGGCAAACCCTGGGCCGCTGAGAAGTGGAACGTGCGAACTTAACCACTGCACCACCGGGCTGGCCCTGTTTGGTTATTTTTGCTATTGAGTTTTGTGAGTTCCTTATATATTTTGGATTTTAACCCTTTCTCAGATACATGATTTGAAAGTATTTTCTGCTGTTCTGTAGGTTGCCTTTTCATTTTGTTGATGGTTTCCTTTGTCGTGCAAAAGCTTTTTAGTTTCACTTAGTCCCACTTTGCTTTTGTTGCTTGTGCTTTTGGTGTTAAATCCAAAAAATCATTCCCAAGACACATGTCAAGGAGCTTATCCTCTATGTTTTCTTATAGTTTCAGGTCTTAAATTTAAGTCTTTGATCCATTTTGATTTGATTTTTATGTGTGGTGTAAGATAGGGGTCCAATTTCATTCTTTTGCATGTGGCTGTCCAGTTTTCCCAACACTGTTTATTGAAGGGACTGTGCTTTTCCCATTGGATTCTTGGCTCCTTTCTCATAAATTAATTGATCATAGATGCATGGGCTTATTTCTGGGCTCTCTATTCTGTTCCATTGATCTATGTGTCTGATTTTATGCCAATACCATACTATTTTGATTACTATAGCTTTGCAATATAGTTTGAAATTAGGAAGTTTGATGCCTTCATCTTTGTTCTTCCTCAAGATTGCTTTGGCTATTCGGGTTCTTTTGTGGTTCCATACAAATTTTGAGATTGTTTTTTCTATGTCTGTGAAAAAATGCCTTTGGAATTTTGATAGGGATTGCACTGAATCAGTAGATTGTTTTGGGTAATATGAATGTTTTAATAGCATTAATTTTTTCAACCCATGAGCACAGAATATCTTTCTATTGTGTATTCTTGAATTTCTTTTATCAATGTCTTATAGTTTTCAATGTACAGATCTTTTACCTCCTTGGTTAAATTTATTCCTAAGTATTTTATTCTTTTTGATGCAATGTAATGAGATTGTTTTCTTCATTTCTCTTTCTGATACTTCATTGTTAGCATATAGAAACACAACTGATTTTTGTATGTTGATTTTGTATCTTGCAACTTTACTGAATTCATGTATTAGTTTTAACAGTTTTTTGGTGGCATCTTTAAGATTTTTTATATATAATATTGTATCATTAGCCTATAAAGACAATTTTATCTCTTCCTTTCTGATTTGGATGACTTTTATTTCTTTTTCTTGCCTAATTGCTCTGGCTAGGACTTCCAGTACTATATTGAATAAAACTTGCAAGAGTGGGCATCCTTGTCTTGTTCCTGACCTTAGAGGAAAAGCTTTTGGCTTTTCACCATTAAGTATGATGTTAGCTATGGTCTTGTCATATATGGCCTTTTATGTTGAGATATATTCCCTCTATACCTACTGTGTTGAGAGTTTTTTATCATGAATGGCTATTGAATTTTGTCAAATGATTTTTCTGCACCTATTGAGATGATTATATGATTTCTATCCTTCATTTTGTTAATTTGGTATATTACATTGATTGATTTGTGGATGTTGAATTGTTCTTGCATCCCTGGAATAAATCCCACTTGATCATGGTATTGGAGCCTTTTAATGTACTGTTGAACTTGGTTTGCTAATATTTTGTTGAGGATTTTTGCATCTGTGTTCACCAAGGATATTCGCCTGTGATTTTCTTGTAGTGTCCTTTCTCACTTTGTTCATGCATTATTATCCCAACCTCAGTGAGCATTTTTATGACTGTTGTTTTGAGCCCTTTATCAGGTAAATCATTTATGTCCATTTTATTAAGGTCTATTCCTAGAGTTTTTGCTTGTTTTTTTTTGTTTGTTTGGAATCTATTTCTCTGTTTCTTCATTTTCCTTGATTCTGTGTGTTGGTTTCTGCACATTAGATAAAACAACCCCCTCTCTCAGTCTTGATGGAGTGATCTCACATAGGAGATGAATCTGTCATCAGCCCAGCCTGAGCTCTTGTTTGTCTCTCAAACCTTTATCTTAACCAAGCCACCACCTTTGTTCTTAGCGGCTCCCAGTATTTGGCAGTGTGCCAAGACCTGTTTCGATGTGGCTGGTGTGTATTTTCTTGTCCTCCCAATATTTATGAATCACTCTGCTAGTTTCTGGATTTCTTTCAGAGGGAATTGCTCCATGTGTAGCTGTAGATTCAGTGTGTCAGTAGGAGGAGGTGAGTTCAGGAGGCTCCTATGTCACCATCTTGGAATGGAACCTCTTTTTTACATTTTTAATACCTCCCCCAAGTCCTCAGCATTCTGAATCCAGTCTTTACCTGGAAACCCATAGCACTTTTTATTTTAAGGTTTATATCAATGGGAATATGATATTAGAGGGAAGAAGCAATTTCCTTCTTCAGAGGATTATATGTTTACTATTTGTACTTTATCCTATTTCTGTATCTACATTTAAAAGAGAAAGAAGTTAGAGATCATTGAGAGAAGAGCAAGAAAAAAACTAAGGAGCTGAAAATATGGTCTATTAAGAAAACTAAAAGAATTATTTCTCCCATTGGAATAGAGAGGGGTATTTCATAAATAGCTTTAAAACCTGTAAAAAGTGGTTATTGACCCTTTGTTTCCATCCACACAAAGGGAAAGACTGAGAGTAAATGACTTAAATTGTTGCAAGAGAGTTCATTCATCCTTGAAGAAAAGATTCTTGATGCTAGACTAGGCCACCAAGAGTCAGAGGGTGGTCTCTGAGATGAACCTGGGTGGGCAGGAGGGTGGAAAGAGGTGAGGAAAGCTGTCTGGGTGTTCACACCACATCCTCCTGCTGTATCTCAGGTGTCGGTAATCAACGGGACCAGCCCTTTTGCCTGTGACTATGACCTCACCCACATCATTGCTGCTTACCAGGCAAGGAATGGTGAGTCATGGGTAGAGTTCATTCAGACACTTGCCAGAGACTTTCCAGGTTAGTGGGGGCTTTGGAGAGAAACAGAATTGGAGACCCATGCCCTCCTCCTCCCCTCACTCCTATGGTCCAGCAGTTAGTGCTGATTAATTGCCATATTTATCCCATCACTAGCTTGATGAGTTTCCTTTTTTAAAATATAAGCCTTGTTGAGTTGCTCCCTTTACCACACCTGTAAAAGAAACCAAAGACCAATTACCATCCATGTTTTTCAGATGGAAATAGGGTATATGAGTGATTTAGCCCATATTAGTAATCGAAGTAGAAGAATAGAAGGCCCCCAGGTTCTGGCTGGAAGGCAGAGTGTATCCCTCCTTTACAGAGGCAAGGCCCTCAGGCCATCCCGTGGGCCTGACTCAGCACGTCTGGCTGGTTGGTGGTCTGAGGTTTTCTCTGACAAGTATTCCTTGGCAACCACATATCATGGACACTACCTACAGATACTACATACAGACATTTGATGAGTAGGGGACTCCAATTCCAGTATTTCTTCCTGATTTTATTTAATATTCTAGCAGCATTATTCCAAAAATAAAGGAATTTTAAAACTAATTTAAAAACACTGATACTAAACTAAAAAAAACTACAAATCAACTTTCCTTTCCTTATTCCTTCCAGTCTTTGTCCATATGCAGATTTTTTTTGTACAGCTGCTCTCATAGTTTAGAGATGCTTTAGGATCCAATTTATTTTTATTTTCTTTGTAATATAAATCTTTCCCCATGCTGCTACAAGGTTTTAATTGGTATTGTTTTTATTGGTCGCATAGTATTCCTTTGCTTAGACACTTAGCAATTACAGAAGAACACATGGACTATTTCCACATTTTTAACATAAGTATTTTGACAATTATTTTAACAAATAATGTCTAAGCAACTTTGTACATCCAATTTCTCTTTCCTTTTGAACTGTCTCTTTGGGATGAGTTCTGGTGTGTAGAATTTGTCTGAGAGGTCAAAAAACTTTTTTATAGCCCTCAATTGTTTATTGCCAAAGCGAGCCTTCATGGGTTAACCCCTGATTGTCTGCATTTCAGTAACCACCATCCTGACTGACGCCAACCCCATCTGGCTGGTGGGAAGGGCTGCTGAAGCTCCGTTTGTGATTAATGCTGTCATTCGTTATCCCGCGGAAGTCATTTCATATCCTTTCTGTTAAAGAGCCAACAGTAGCTTGGTTTTGAAAAAGAAAAAAAGAATTCCTCAGTAGTCCCAAGAAGGAACAGATGTGGGAAGCCTTAGACTGGAAATCTGCTATAGCATTGTAGCCTCACAGAGATGACTCCGTCTGCTGTTCGTACAGGCAAAAAATTCATTTCCTGTTCATAGTTCTTTATGAGCCATTCTTCTAGGTCAGAATCATCCATATTTTTGACTTAATAATCTTTTATTATCCCTTTTATCTTAAGGGTATTTGAAACATTTTTGCCATTTTCTGTCTAACTAAACTTTGGTTTAACATTTTTTTAGAAAAGGTCGTATGTTGACTCCTTAACTGTGTGTACTTATCTACCAGGATTCTGGGAAATGATCAAGTTTGCCTGGATCCAATATGTCAGTATCCTGCTTATCTTCCTCTGGGTATTTGAAAGAATCAAAAGATTTGTGTTTCAAAATCAGGTGGTCACCACGGTCCCTGTAACAGCAATGCCCCAGGGAGAACTGTATAAGGAGCACTTATCTTAAGAAGATCATTTCTAGGGCTGGCCCCGTGGCCGACTGGTTGAGTTTGTGTGCCCCGCTGCGGCAGCCCGGGGTTTCGCCGGTTCGGATTCTGGGCGCAGATGTGCACCGCTGGTCAGGCCATGCTGAGGCAGCGTCCCACATGCCACAACCAGAGGGACCCACAACTAAGAGTATGCAGCTGTGTACCGGGGGACTTTGGGGAGAAAAAAGGAAAAAAATAAAATCTTTAAAAAGAAGATCATTTCTGAAAACACTAAGCAGGACCCTGATTACCTCATTGTTGTCTTCCTACAACTGCCATCTTATGATGTTTCTGAAAAGAGCCCATGGACACGTGCCAACATATGTGTTTTCCTATCAGAGACAAAGAGCAATTCTTTCTCGTTTTTCTCTACACAAATTCCATATCATCTAAGCACTTAACAAATCATCAGGGACTAGTTTGTGGAAAGGTCAGAGGGTTCCTGAAGGCTGTAATTTGCTTGTTTTTGTTTGTTTGTTTTTTGCCTGAGACCTGAATTTCAGGAGAAAACTACAGTCAGTTCAGACATCTTGGAAAGAGTCCCATCTCTGGTCAAGCAAAGACTTTTGGTCTCATGAACTGAGAAACATGTTATGCATTTCTTCCCCCTATCGTAAACCAAGTTTTACGCTTTTCAGGACTCTCTTGTGATAGATACGCAGGTCACTAGCACTTTCCACTCCTGGGCATCTAAATTTCCCATTCAGAGCTTTGATTCCGAGAACTGAGAGGCCTTTAACTAGAGAACTGGAGAGAGAGAAAGAGCGCTCAAGAACACATGTGTGCGTGTACGTGAGGGGCGACTTGACACTAGGACCATCCACCTGCCCTCGGCCTAACAGACAGTCATCTGTCATCAGCTCAGCTGAACAGCCCCTTATCCCTGCCCTGGTGTGGCTGGCTCTTTGCCCTGCCTTTTGCCCTCTCTCTGCCCGTGGAATAGGCTGAAGTCAGAAGTGCTGTTTCATTCACAATCCGCTCAGCAACAGTGGGGGAAGTAAGGATTGTAACAACAGGTTCTTTCTCTCTGGCCTTCACCCAACAGCCTGGAGACTTGCCATTCCTCCTCCTTAACAGCGCCCCCCCCCCCCCCCCCCCCCCCCCCCCCCCCCCCCCCCCCCCCCCCCCCCCCCCCCCCGGCACCCCCGCCGCCCTCCGCCAACTTCCCGAAAAGGATGTGAGTGACAGAGGAACTGTTGTTTTATTGGCTTGCTCCCACTGCCCAACAACCACAGAGTTTATCTGGAGGGCTAGCAAGAAGCCCAGCTACTTGTGTTTCCCTTGACTAGGGAACAGGGTGCCTGTTGGAGCAGGCAGCTTTGGGTAGGACACACAAGCGGCAGTGACGGAATAAAGAAGATGTTAGCCCAGGCAGCCCAATCCAGCTTGGCCATTAGCAGCATGACAGGCGGTCCTGCCAGATTACCCTCATGGCTCACTGAGCGTCTGCAGAAGAAGAGACCACTGGAACAGGCCTCTGTTGTACACAGAAGACTGACTCTCCATTCTCATCCTGAGGACGCATGCAGCTTCTTCAGAGGATGGATGGATCTGCTTTATGATCTAGAATGTCATTGGCCCTGGAAGGACATACCCACTGTGATCCAAGCTTCATGCCCACCCACAAACACACTCAGTGTATGCCTCAGTTTACCTTGGAGATTCAGTTCTTATTTCCAAAGCACCTTTTCTTCCAGGCTGAACAAAATAAGAGTTCTGGAAACAAAGCTATTTTGAAGTATTCAAGCACAAAAATATCCTGGCACTAGCTCCTCTACCTGTTTTCTTTAGTTTAATGTGTAGGGGTGTTTATCTGCCTAAAAATTTTTTCTTGAGATTTAAGTGAAAAATGGTTGCTGGTTTGAATCACAAAGAGGTAATGAGATATGGAAAGATAGCTAAAGATGTGTATAAACATTGCTTTGCATTTTGTTAAATTATTTTAATGCAAATTTTGTGTAAAGAACCATGATGTTTTATAACTTTCTAATTAAAATGTTCAAAATGGAAGGTTAATGTGGCTTTTTAGAGGGGAAAGGTTTGGAAGGAGAAGAATGGAGAGGGCAGAGGTTGCGCACACTTCTTCAAGTTACTCACCAACAGCCTTGCTTTGCCAGGGCTCTGCCCAGAGACCTTGGAGTTTTTGTTAGCTCTTTGGCAAAAGTCACCTGGTCCAGCCCCAAGTAAATGTGAGTTTTCAGTGGCATCCACATGGCCTGTGGAAACCAGAGGCTGGAAAATTACTATTGCGTCTGGTGAATAGCATATCAAATTATTTACAGATCACATGTTGGTAGCTTCTGGACCTGAATCACACAGTGTAGCTGCAAGGAGGTAAAAGGTGAGAAATAGCCAGGATTTTATCAACTGAGCTGTAACCCATAGCTAAGGACAGAGAGTTTGAGACAATTACTCAATATTTGGGTTGGGGGAGATCCCTAATTTTGCCAAATGATTATCCACTTTCTGTTTGAATCAGGAGAGGCCCCTAAAGTCTGGCTTTGGTCCCGTCATCTAAGGTTAATAAAGCAATTCTGTGCATCTCCTTTCCTTCTCTTCATGTTCATCTTTTTAAAAGAAGTTTTGTTTCTTTCTGACCACGTAAGTTCTAAATGCCTATTAGGGAAAATGTGTAATTACAGTAACCGAAAGAAAATAAGTTGTCTATAAATCTGCTACCCAAAAGTTATCACTGTTGGCATTCTGATACACATCTTTCTACTCTTTTGTGTTATGTCTAACTTTTTTGCTATCATAAACAACACTTCTATGAACCTCGTGTATAAATTCTTGTTGCTGGTTTATTTCCTTAACATAAATCCTGGAAAGGAATTACTAATTGAAAAAACTTATGACCGTTCTTAAGGATTTTAATTCATCTTGCCAAACTGAATCCTGGAAAGAATGCACTAATTTGAGAAGTCTCAAAAAGAGACTTTTTTTAGATCCCACCACGGATTACAAAAGGTCCGAATGCTCTTTTTTAGATGCCTGGACTCTGCTCCGTTATGTGTAGGGGACAGCCAGCTGCGGGCCCAGCTCCTGAGGGCCACCTGGTGTCTCGGCCCCTCCCTCTCAGCTTGGCTATTGCGTGCCCTTGGCGTCAGGGGATCGCGGACTTGGCTTAGGGCTGAGACCCGGGGCTTGGGAAGTGATTTAGATTCCAAGTCACTTCGCTGTGAGGATGCCACTGAGAGCAAGGAGGGGCAAGATTAAGATTCAGTTTCCTTCACAAGGGCCTTTTGTGCTCCCAGAAGCCTCCCTTCTCTGGTGTATGGAGGGGGAGACAACTTTTCTGGTCAATTAGTGAGACGAGAGGTGACTCTGCGAGCGCCCTTTGGCATCCTTGGCCAAACAGCGCGCCTCCCGCAGCCCCCCGGGCCCACCTGTGCCTCCCTTACTCGGGGCCCTCTTGCGCCCGCCTCTAGGCAGCTGCCCCTCCCCCGAGGCGTGGCCCCTCGGTCCCCGGGTGGAGAGGATAGCGGCAGCCGGGGGCCAACCGGCTCCTTCCTTCCTTCTCTCCCGCCCTGGCTCCCGCCCGCCGGCTCCGGGACCGCAGCCACGTCTGAAAGCGCCTCATTGTGTGCGCTCAGCTCCGGTCGGCAGCGCGGAGCAGCGCAGTGGGCCGCGGCTTGCAGCGCAGGTAGCGCAGGGCGCCGGGCTCCGGGTCAGGAGCGCCGGAGTTTGTTTCTTGCCGTTGCCCCAGGATTGCTCCCCGCCGCCCCCAGCATCCCATTCTTACGACGCCTCTCTTTTTTTAGGGGGCTCCTGCCCTGTTCTCAGGTTCCCTCTGCTTTGGGTCTCCAGGTGTCTCCAATATCTTGGTATCCGCTGACCCCCGTCTATGCCTCTTAGAGCCCCCTCCCCGGTGTCACTGGGTGCCCCTTAATAGCCTTGGGACCCTAACGAACAAATCAGCCTCTGTGGACTCTCCCAGTGAAGAGACAGAGCCGGCGGTGGAGTGGAACTTGGAAGAGACGAGGTCAAGGAGCCTTTGCTGAGCCTCGGGAGAGGGGTGTCTGCCTCCGGGCCGCGCCGGGTCCAGCAGGGACGCCAAGCTTTGCGGTACGTTGGTTTGTCCTTTCTCCGCGCGGGATGCCCCCACCCTGGGAAGGCTTGGGGCTGGGCCGGTGGCACAGTTTGGAGAGCATTGATCTTGCAGCTGGAGGTCGGGTTTGCGGGGAGGAGCCGAGCGTGGTGGTTCCATGAGCAACGTGGAAAGGGCATCGCCTTCCCAGTCGCTGGTTTGAAAGTGTCTTCCTGGGCTTCAGCTGCACACGAGATCACTGTTGAGGGATCCCTATCCGATGAAATTTGAGTTTCAAAGGGAATGACTTTAATCTAGAAAGCTCTCTAAAGGCTTTTCCCACGGAACTTTTGAGGAAAAGCAGCTTGGTGAGTGAATTTAAAACCAGATCCAGCTGAATTTGAGTTTGGCGGCCCCTGCTTCTGGCTGCTGGATCTTGGGGCAACAAAAGAGATCTCTGTTGGCCTCAGCGTAGGTGCCCAGCAAATGTTAACTCTCTTTCCTCTTCCCTCGTATATCAGAGGCATGAGGATGGGAAAACTGAGGCCTAAGAGCAGAAAGGACTTGGCCGACCTGAAGCCATGAGTGAGTGAGCCAGGCATCAGGACTAATGAGAATAGTAGCCTGCTCAGTGAGTGCTGGCCGTGCTAAGGGTTATCTTGTTCCATTTACTCCCCTCCAGCAGGTGTGGTAGGTGCTGTTATAGCCTCCTCTACAGAGGAATCAACTGCAGCACAGAGACGTTAGGAGTGACTTGCTCAGAGTCGCACACCTCACTGGTTGTAGAGGCAGGATTCGAACCCGGTCTGCCTTCAATGCCAGGCTTCTGGCCATTATTCACCATCTTCTGTCTGTATGTACATGTGCTGCCCCATATTTTGTTGCTAGGGTGCTACGGTCACGTGAATGTGGTTAGGCTATTGTTCTTGAGTTGTCCTTATGAAAGGCTCCTCGTTGGATTCATAGAACATCATTGTGACCCAGAATTTGGAAGATTTCTGAAGAAATACTTAGAAGTGTACTATATGCCAGACATTGTTCTAAGTGCTTTACAAATATTAACTCATTTAATCTTCAAATCAAGCCCACATAATGGGGTTATATTATTTATCCCATTTTATAGATTAAAAAAAAAAAACAGGCACAGAGAGATTAAGTAGCTTGCCAAAGATCACACAGTAAATGAACAAATGGAGTTCATACCCTTAGCCACTGGGCTAGCCCTACTCCCTGTAATGAGACAGCCAAGGTCCTGCTTCTAGTCTAGTAAGGGGAGATAGGTACAGAAATGCATGAACAAGAGTATTCTAGGTAGTGATAGCAGCATTAACAATGATTTCTCAATATCACCTACTATTTCAGTCCGTATTAAAATTTCTCTGATTACCTCAAAGATACCTTCTTACAGTTGATTTGTTCAAATCAGAATCCAAACAAGGACCACACGTTGCTTTTGGCTGTTATGTGTTTGAGTTGTTTTCTTCTAAAACTGTCCCTTCTTTTTTCTTTTTCTTGTCATTGACTTGTAAGAATAATTTACTTTTTTAAAATAATAAATTAATCAAAAAAAGCTTAAAAAAAAATAAACCATAGAACATTCCAGATTATCCCCATAATAAGAGGGCTCTGTCAACACCTGGAGGAACACAGAGGAATATGCTAAATGTGTGTTCCTTACCCCCATACCTTGTGTGTGGTACTGCAGAAAAGAGGTGGGAGCCCCCAGACTTTAGGGCCCTCCAGCTGTCAGGTTCTACGATTTACACCAAATTAGGTGCTGTGCAAAGTGCATTTTGAGGATCCCAAAGCTCAGAGACAGGGCAAAGCGTTTCTGTGTTGATATCTGCTCATCTGCTCTGAAATGCCCCAGGGCTGAGCCAGGGAGACTTGAGGCTCCTTGCCCAGACAGTGTGATTTCACTTCACATAGATTCTTGCAGGCAGAAATTTCCTCCAGCAGCATCTGGGCTGTGCGACTCCAGCCTCCCTGCCTCGGGCTCGTGCCACGCAGCTGCTCATCGGGGCTGGCAGAGAGATTGGCAGATGTGGCCAGGGTTTGGGCCAGGCATGTCTTCTGCCCAGCCCACAGCCCTCAGACTGAGACAGGGCTTGGGGGCCTTGATACCTTTCTCAGCACAGGAGATAATTTTCCATCCCATGCCCCTGTCCTCTGGCCAACCAGGTACTCGGGTCAGCTGGGAGATAGATTTGCAGGCCCTTCTCTCTCTGCAGTGAAAGCTGGAAGAGGCAAACTCCATGCATGCCTCCTTTAACCAACGAGAAAAAATGGATTTTATGATTACCAAAGTAATAAAAAAGTCTATTGTAGACTATCTGGAAAATGCAGAAATTATGGGAAGTGAGGTTAGAAAGCTGAAGGTTGCTGAGTCCAAGAATGTCATGATCAAATGAGTGGTATAGGCAGCTCTGGTGGCTTGGTGCAATGTCGATTAGCGGGAGGCTATGTGGCAGTTTTGCCAGAATCCACAGGACCCTCCTGTGGTACTGGATGCCCAGGCCACTCACTTGGACCACTATCTGGTCTCTTGACCATGGGTGTGTCTTTAACACCCCCAACTAGATTGTCAGCTCCACCATGATAGGGGCCCTCGACATTAGACCTCCAGGACTGATCCTCTTGCTTGCTTTCTTTTCTCTATTTTACATCTTTTATCCCTCATCTGGTTTTTTGTTCTACTTTCTCCATTTCCTCAATTTTATCTTTCAAACCTACTATTACAATTTTAATCTCTAAGGCAATTTAACTCTGATGAAGACAAAGATTGTACGAGAAAGGAAATGTACTCTTGGTGCATTACGTGCTTCAGCTGTGAGCTGTTTTATAAGGTCATATAATGTAAATTTGAATATTGACTTAACCAAAAATTATTTTAGGAGGCTAGGGGTAGAAGGAAAGTGTATTTACGTTTCTCTGTGTGTGTGTGTGTTATGTGTAGAGAGAAGATAAATCTTTATCTTTCATTAAAACAAGTCATTAGAAAATGCTATAAATTCTAACTGTAACAACTCATGCTTTCTTTTTAAGAAATAAAGTAATTAGCAGAAGAAACAACTAACAAATTTGAAAGCAATTACCTCTTGTTAAATAGGATTTTGGAGCAAGAGAAGGACTTGTGATAATTATCTGACTTTTTAAACTATGTACATTTAAAACTTTTAATTTAGTAATTTTTAAATAGTATATATATATATATATGTTCATATGGATCAAAATTCAAATAGTACAAAAAAGGATTTATTGTGAACTCTCTTTTCCCAGCTATTTCATTCCCCACCCAGGGGAAACTAACATGGTTATTTTCTTGTACAAACTTCCAGGGATAGCTTATGCCTAGTCAAGCTATGTGTATTATTTTGACAAAAATAAATTTTAAAAAGACTTTATGACCAAAAAAGTTTCAGCGACTTGAGAAAGAGCACTCTGTAAGGTGGTTCTGGGTATCGGGGAGGAGGGGGAACTTTCTATTCCTTCCATGGCCTCTTGTACTTTACTCCCACCCCCACCCCACCCCCAAAATATATGAGTATTTTCATCATCACCATCATTACCATCAAAGACTTGGTGGAAGCTGGAGGCAGGGTTGCCTCTGAGGATGGCCTGAGGGAGGTGTAGGGATAGAGAATGCCACTTCCCTTTCACTGAGTGGCCCTGGCACTCTGGTGTGGGACTGTGTCCCCTTTTCTAATTTTCACAGATTCTTAAGACATAAGCCCATGATGCCCTCATCTGTACTTTTAGAATTTTGTATCACCTCTATGTGTTAGTTTATCCCAAAATTAAACACCTAATAAACATATACCTCCAAAAAAGAATTTAAAAAGGAAAGACTTTATAGGGGAGGGCCTAGGCCTCCCAAGATGGGAGACTTCATTGGGCAAAGGCTGAGCAGTGGAACCCACCCCAGATCCCTACCCTGGGGGTTGACAGTGGGACTTAAACCCCTGCCTTGCCCTTTACTAACTGAGTATTCATGTCTCTGAGCCCCACTGCCTCAACTAAAACAGACAGGGATAATTTCTACCTCCTAGGGATGATGGGAAGATAAGATTCAGTCATGAAGATAAAGTACGTACATATTAGAGGGCCTGCCTGACATGTTGTTCCTAACTTTGAACCCTGGGGCAATTAATGGGTGTGCTGAACATATGGCTCCTTATCAGAAAACTCCCAGCTGGGACCCGGACTTCTCTGGACACCCCTCCAGGGGTAGGATATTTTTATCTCCTTCCTAGTTCTTGAGTTCCAATAACAGGATCAAATAACAATTCCTGTATTGTGTGAGTCACTTAAGAAAACCTCTGGTTTCCTGGAGTGCAGGTAACGAACACCTTGGTATAGGGTCAAGATCCTCCCTACCCAGGAGAGGGCTGGGCTGGCCAGGGAAGCTGTGTTTGGACCAAACATCAGGGTCCTGTGATCTGCAGGGATCTCCCAGGGATGGAAGAGGACAGCAGCCTGTGATGGGTAAGCGCCAGGAACTTATGGAAGTCTTGGTTTGAGGTCCTAGTTACCCTGAAGTCTCCCCAAGCCTTGGGTCCTTCATCTAAAAAATTGAGATCTTAATGCCCACCTCAGGGGCGGTTGAGTTAAATCACAGAGTGGATGTAAAGCATCAGGCACTTGAAGTAATTTCTGTCTGTAAATACGAGTTACGAGTTCCCTTCCTCCCCTGCACCCTGTTCTCAGAGGAAGCACACCTTAAGGAGAGGAGATAACATGTGCAGAGCAGATAGTAGCTACTGTCCTTGTCTTCCAGGTTTTCTAGGCATGGGTATGGGATCCAGGAGGCAGTTCTGAAGTCAGCAGATGACAGAGCTCTTGGGTGTCTCTACCCACTCCTGCAGCCTCGCAATAAGGGGAAGGAGCAGAGATGGGATCTGCTCACAACTTAGACCTCGGCTTCTCTCAGTGGTGACATGGGCAGGGGAGGCGGGGGTCTTAATGGGATCCAAATGCTGTGGAAGCAAGGAGGAAACTTCCAGGCCCCTCCCTCCCAAAGCAGCTCATCCTTGAGATTATTGCAGGACCAACAGGTGCAAAGAGGAGAAAACTCTGGGACCTCAGGGTGTGGGAGCTGGGCTGAGTGTTTCTTTCATTCTGCAGGACAAGTGTGACAACCTCAGGATCCACTAAAGGACTCAGGGGTGGTTGGGGGCTAAAGGTGGGCCTGGGAGATGCTGGGATTCTAAGCATAGGTGGCCTCAGGGTGTCTCATCTGGATAGAGACCTCCCATGTTCCTCCTCTCCAGACACAGCTCAACACTACAACAGTATCAGTAACTGGGGGCATATGTGTGGCACTTTACCAAGCCCTTTCCACACATGTGTGTAGCAGCGTTCTTCACAACAACCCTAAGAGTTTAAATGTTACCGTCTTCATTTTATCGAGGAGGAAACAGCCTGAGAAGTCGTAAGTAAGGCATGGAGGGACTCAAAGCCAGCCCTCTCTCCTGCATCCAGCAGGAGAGCCCGTCAGTTCGCACTCCTTTGGAAAAATGTATCCAGCACCTGGTCCGTGCCCAGCTCCAGCCAGAGGCAGGGCAGCTCCATCCCCACCTGTGGGGAACTTCCTGTCAGTCTGGGAAGGCAGAACCCTCCCACTGTGCATGGCTTTCTCCTAATGTGGGGCTCTGACCCAGCCTCCCTCCTGCTTTCTCAGACCCTGAGGACCCTCCAGACATCTCCCATGGATTTGTGATTGGGGCGGGCAGCTCTCCCAGCAGTCCAGGACAGAGGTGAGTAACCTCAGCAGGGAAGGGGTCAAGCATCCTGCCAGGAGCCTGACTATTCTCACCTCTCCCTGTCTCTGGCTCCATCCTCTCTCTCCCTTCACTGGTTTCTTCTGCAAACTCACACAGTTCCAGAAAGATACCCTCCCAAAAATTGTATCTGCTGGCTTAAGAAAAATCATAAGATGCAGAAGCACACTGTGTAGACAGCACAGGTTCTCATGCGCCCCCCCCCCCCCCCATGCTCATTCCAATACCCCAGGACCAGTATTATCCCCTTTTTACAGAGGGGTAAGCTGAGTCATAGAGAGATTAAGTATTTGGTCCCAGATCACAGGCCAGGAAGTGATTAAGCCAAGATTCAACCTGAGGGAGCTTGGTGGTGCTCTTACATCGGCCAAACCACCCATTAAGTTGTTTAGCTAAACTACCTAAAATTGTCTCCCTAAAAGGAATTCTTAGGCAAAAGGTGGGAATTCTATTTTAAAGATATTTCCCTCCCCAGATAAAGAGATAAAGAGAAAGAAACATTTCCTACAGTATTCTGCAACTGGCCTTTTGCTCTGCATGGACTAGATCGTGGCTATGTCTTAACTTCACATTCCCGGGAGAGCGCCCAAACTGAGATCGTCGTGGTCCTGGGAGGCCCCCATGATCGATCGGATGCTCGGGTCCTGGGGCTGCTCCCTGTAAGCACTGGTTAGGGGTGTGGGATGGGCGAGCAGGCCACGCTCTCTAACGGCTGCGCTCTCCTCCCGCAGGCCCCTGGCCGGCGGCATGTGGCTGTCGCGCTTCTCCAGCACTGTGGTGACCGCGCTCCTGCTGGCGCAGTCTGGCCTCCTGCTCTTCCTGGTCTCCCGGCCCAGGACGCTGTCCCCAGTGGGTAGCGAGGAGCGGGTGCACGTACTGGTGCTGTCCTCGTGGCGTTCAGGCTCGTCCTTCGTGGGCCAGCTCTTCAGCCAGCACCCCGATGTCTTCTACCTGATGGAACCTGGGTGGCACGTGTGGACCGCCCTCTCGCAGGGCAGCGCGCCCGCGCTGCACATGGCCGTGCGCGACCTGGTGCGCTCCGTCTTCCTGTGCGACATGGACGTGTTCGATGCCTATCTGCCGTGGCGTCGCAACCTGTCGGACCTCTTCCAGTCGGCGGTGAGCCGCGCGCTGTGCTCGCCGCCGGCCTGCAGCGCCTTCCCGCGCGGCGCTATCAGCAGCGAGGCCGTGTGCAAACCGCTGTGCGCGCGGCGGCCCTTCGGCGTGGCCCAGGAGGCCTGCCGCTCCTACAGCCACGTGGTGATCAAGGAGGTGCGCTTTTTCAACCTGCAGGTGCTCTACCCGCTGCTCAACGACCCGGCGCTCAACCTGCGCATCGTGCACCTGGTGCGCGACCCGCGGGCGGTGCTGCGCTCGCGCGAGCAGACAGCCAAAGCCCTGGCGCGCGACAACGGCATCGTGCTGGGCACCAACGGCACGTGGGTGGAGGCTGATCCCGGCCTGCGCGTGGTGAGCGAGGTGTGCCGCAGCCACGTGCGCATCGCTGAGGCAGCCACGCGCAAGCCGCCGCCCTTCCTGCGCGACCGCTACCGCCTAGTGCGCTTCGAGGACCTGGCGCGGGCGCCGCTGTCCGAGATCCGTGCGCTCTATGACTTCGCGGGCCTGAGCCTCACGCCCCAGCTCGAGGCCTGGATCCACAACATCACTCACGGGTCCGGGCCCGGCGCGCGCCGCGAGGCCTTCAAGACCACGTCCCGGGACGCGCTCAACGTCTCCCAGGCCTGGCGCCACGCTCTGCCCTTCACCAAGATCCGCCGCGTGCAGGAGCTGTGTGCCGGCGCGCTGCAGCTGCTGGGCTACCGGCCCGTGTTCTCCGAGAAAGAACAGCGCAACCTCGCCCTGGATCTGGTGCTGCCGCGCGGCCGGAGCAGCTTCAGCTGGGCGTCGTCCACCGCCGCGCACCCTGGGCCTTAGCGGAGGCCCCAAGTTGTGGCGGTCGCCAGGGCCGGGAGGCTAGTGTATGGTGGAGAGGGAGCTGGGGCACGTGGGTGCAGGGGCCGCAGACAGCTACCGGAGGGGCCGGAGTTGGGGAGTCCTCCCCTTTAGTAGGAAAGGACTGAGTCCCCAAACTACATGTTTCTATTTCCCCACTTCTTGACTTTCCTTTGAGTCCTCTTTAGGAGCTGAGTTCCCATCAGACACACTTTATGGAAAGCAAAATTCGTGCTTCCATTTCTTCTTGGCACAGGGAATAAGTTCAGACGACTCGGTTCCTACTCGAGCACTTTCTTTCCCCTTAACCCTCTCCTCCTTTGGGATGCGTCATCCAGCAGCTGAGAAGGGTGGCCTGGTCCTGCCTGAGAGTGGAGGGGCAGTACAGTGAGCTTCTGTGTGTCTCCTCCGGTACCCCGCCTACACACACAGACCCCCCCCCCCCACCCCGACTCCATTCCCCCCATGCATCTGGCACCTCACTCCATCAAATCTATTGGCGGTTATATTCACCTGTATCGTCAGAAAGAAATCAGACAAGATTTCTCTTATTTTGTGATCTCTCTTAGCCACTCTCTGCCCCATCTTCCAGGAGCCCACATGCCCCCATCACTTGCCCAGGTAAGGTGAGCCTTTGATTTGTCCTAATAGGAAAGATCCTACCTACAGAAATAAACATAATAATTAACCTGTGTGATACAGATTAGAGTTTATAGCCTGTAAAGTTTGACAAGCGAAACACAGACTTGTCCAAGGTTACAACATGAGAAGGAGTATGAAGGGAGGAGGGAGCTTTTGCTCTGGGGCTGCAGTGGGGAGAAGAGGATGAATCAGGCTTGCAGAGACCTGTCTTATGGACAAGAAGGGCCACATTTCCCCCTCTTATTTGCCCTAGGGAAGAGCAAGCTGCCATGGCTGGGGCCACAGCTGTGGGATTCAGGAAGTGGTGAGTTCTGGGCCCAGAGTGCAGAACCTGGAGAGCCTCCTAGATGAGCCTGGAGGGAGGCAGTGAGGAGGAAAGGTGGAGGGAGAGAAGGCTTGGGAGGCCTGGGCAGCAAGCCAGGCAGAGCGTGTGGCTGAGCAAGAGGTTGGCAGCAGGATCAGTGCCTAGAGGGCAGGTCACAGGGTGAATGTAATTAAATCAGGCTTGCTATGAGCTTGGGAAAAAAACAGCTCTGGGGTGATTGTCTTCCCTTGGTCCTTCCAGGCCAGGCCCCGGAGGAGAGCAGAGTAAGAGTCCTAACTGCAGACCACAACCCCTAGCTCTGGCAGCGAAGAGACTTATTAAAGAGATACTCGATGTGTAGAGGGCTTGGTCCTGAGCTCAGGAAATGAGAGCCAGCAAGTGCTCAGTACATGTTTCAAAGAAAAAAACAAAAAACTTCACAGAACCTCTAGGAAGGACAGGGAAGCAGATCTGAGTCTGTACAAACAGAATACCCCAAGTCCCATTGGGGCACAAAGTCGGTCTGGGGACTGACGCTTGCCACCAGAACTTCTGTGCCCATTACCTCTGGAAACGAGGGAGCTGCCCTCACTGTTGCCATCAGTTGCCAGAAGGGATTCTGGAGGTGGCTAGTCTCTGAGTCTCCGCCTGAGTGTGGCCTTAGATTGATGGAACCTGGACTGTGGACCCACATCCTCGCTGCAAAGCAGGAGGAGCAAGGGCGATCTGGCATTTTCTGCTGCTTTTCTTGCATGGAGAAGAGGTATATTGACCTTGAAGCTGAAGCTTCAGGACGCCTCATTTGAGGATCTGCCAAGATGTAGAAGCTTCAGGCCCCATAAAACCTCAGTCTGCCCATGCTCATAATAGCATGGGGAAGATATTTAAAACCCAAAATTTGTTAACAGGGACTCTGCAGCTTAGAAAGGCTCAGGTCATATCACTTAATATATGGGCTAGGACTTGAACTGATATCTTTGACTTCAACACTTACGGTTCTAACAAGTAAAGTGAACTGGGGATGTAGCAAAGGACCCCACCAAAGGCTTGGGAAGCCCGATCATTTTACCCTAGTGATGACATGGGTCTCTGGGTGTCAGGGAGCCATCCTGGCATTTGGCTGCAAACATCTCAAGAACCAGAATGTTGAAAGGTATAGTGGGCAGTTGGCTGAGGTGTTGGGCCCCTGCCGCTTGCCTCTTTCCTCTCTGCATTCCCCTCTCTGTCTTCCACCCTGTGCTGGCCACTGGGGACAAAAGCAGCCTGCTTTGGAAGAAGTGCTCGGTCAAGTGGAGGGGTCCAGCCAGGAGCAGTCCCGGGCAGTGTGGTGTGTTCAGGCAAAGAAGGATAAGCAAGAGGTTCTGGGGCCAGAGGCTAAGAATGAGGAGACACTGATCTCCAGTGGAGTCCAGGAAGGCTTTTTTGGGGGCCTCAGAGCCCAGCCTGATAGTGGCATCCCACAAGTTTCATTTGCCCTGCTCAGGTCACAAATTGTATTGATGGCCACAATTAATGGCCTTTGCTGTGTGATTTACCCATTCTCATTTGACTCCGGGGGTCCCAGGCACAGGGATGACAGGCTCATAGACTTTACTCCCTGCATATGGGACACTCTAGGCAAGCCTCTGGGTGAGTTCCCTGGTAAATGGGTTCCAAGCAAGCCTCAGGTGAACTCAGATGAGGTTTCAGGACAAAAACAGGTAGTAGCCAGTTTAGTGCTTCAATGAGTCAGGCCTGTGCCGGGCCCTGGGACATAGTGGTGGACAAAGCAGTCACAGCCCTTGCTCTTGCTCTTGCGGGGAGTGCAGACTCTAAATAAATAGTCCTACAGATAAACATGTAACCATAAATGTCAACTGTGCTCTAAGAAGAAACAATAAGAATGGGTAGAGGGCAACCTACTTTAGAATGGGGAGTCAGGAAGACCTCTTCGAAGAGGAAACATTTGGTTTGAATAAATGAAGGGTGAATAGGAGTTAATCAAGCATGGGATGAAGAAACAGAGGCAGAGAGAGACTGAGGGATTGGTCCCTTGGAATCAAGGTTCCCTGACAAAATAAAAGACTCCCTCCTGGGAATCCGGGCTCATGAGCTGGGAGAAGCCCCCAGGAGACGACCGAGTTTGTGTGTCTATAGTAAAGTTTCCCAGAAGTAGACCTGCTGGTTCAAAGAGCATTATTTTTTTAAATGTGAAATTGCCAAATTACTCTAAAAATGGAGGACCAACTTATACTCTCTGGAACAATGTCAAGAATTCCCTTGTCACCCTCTCCTACCAACTACTCCCACCCTACCACCATCAGCTGTACAGGGTCAAATCAATCATTTTCATTTTTACCTACATGATAGAATATTATTCAGTGCTAAAAAGAAATGAGCTATCAAGCCATGAAAAGTCATGGAGGAAACTGAAATGCATATTACTAAGTGAAAGAGGCCAATCTGAAGAAGCTACATACTGTATGATTCCTACTATATGACATTCTGGAAGAGGAAAAACTATGGAGACAGGAAAAGATTAGTGGTTGCCAGGGGCTGGAGGTGGAGAGGGGATGGACAAATAGACAGAGCATAGATGATTTTTAGGGCAGTGAAAATACTGTAGGATATTATAATGATGGATATATGTCATCATACATTTGCCCAAACTCATAGAACATACAACATCAAAAGTGAACTCCAAGGTAAACTCTGGACTTTGGGTGATGATGATGTGTCAGTGTAGGCTCCTTGTTAACAAATGTACCACTCTGGTGAGTGATGTCGATAATGGGAGAGGCTATGAATGTGTGAGGGCAGGAAGTATATGGGAAATCTCTGTACCTCCCTCTCAATTTTGTTGTAAACCTAAAACTGCTCTAAAAAAAAATTGTCTTTAAAAAAAAACCAACAAGTGGAGCCAAAGCCTTGGTAGCCTCAGGAGTGTGTGGGAGTGCTGCTGAAATGGAAAGGGTTGGCCAACCATACAGAGGTGGAAGCAACCCCCACAGCCTGGACTTCGAATTTTCCCAGAGTGGTGAGACCTTCAGCTGATTGAGTATTTTCTCCTTTGGGGGTAAGACAGGAGGACTTGGTTGCCCTTGCAATTCTGATGCTATTCTGATCCCAGTCTTCAAGTCCTCCAGGCCTCCATTCATGCATTCAACATACATGAGGGATTGAGCACCAACCAGCGCTAAGGTCAAAAGTAGGAAAGGATCATGTGCTTAGGAATGCATGTGTGTCGGTGTGAGTTACACTTGTTAATGAGGTGATCATGTAGGTCTCATTGGGAAAGTGACATTTGAGCAAAGTCTTAAAGGAGGTGAGGCAGTTAATTAAGGTGTAACTATGGGTAGAGTGTCCTGGAGGAGGCAGCAGGTAATACAAAAATCCTAAGGATGGAAGGCATCTGGCATACTGGAAGAACAGCAAGGGGCTAATGGTCTGGTGTGGGGGGCCAAAGGAAGAATGCTAGGAGATGAGAAGGTAAGAGAGAGGGGGTCAGATCAGGCAGGACCTGGTAAGGCCTTGCTGAGGACTTTGGCTTTTGCTTGGAGTGAGATGGAGGGTATACAAGGCCACTCTTGCTCTATGGCCCTCTTTAGTTGAATAAATAAATATAATGTCATATAAATGTGTAATATGTCAAGTATTTAAAAAATAATAGAACAAGTACCTAGGGAAATAAATACTTCACTATAATTTTACTGCCTATGTTAACATCCTGAATAAGTATACTGTTAGTTTTGCAGCTTTTTGAACTGAATTTGAATTGAATCACACTGTGGCCTTCTTCTGCAACTTAAATTTTCCCCTCGACTTTATATTCCTGAGATTAATCATCTTGCTTGCAGCTTTGCTCATTTATTTCCACTACTGACCAGTATTTTATTGAAAATTATACCACAATGTTATTTATCTTTTTTTCTTGACGAACACTTGGCTTGTTTTTAGTTACTTGCTGTTACAGTGCTACAAGTAACAAATCTTGTATGTATCTCCTGGTATAAATGCAATAGCATATTCACCTGGGCCTGAAATGGCTGGATCATGAGCATCTTCAGTCAACATTATTCCAAAATGGTTATATCATTTTGGAATAGAGTTCTAGTTGCTGTACAACCTCACCAACAATTGATATTCTCAGACTTAAATTTTTGGCTATTGGGCGGTTGACAAATGATGTCTCAGTGTGATTTCATTTTGTGTTTCAGTGATTAACAACAAGGTTAAGCGTCTTTTCCTATTTTTGTTTGTCATTTGTATTTCTCTTTGACAAAGTACCTATTCGGGTCTTTTGTCTCTTCGTCATTTTCTTATTGATTTTTAGGAGTACATTATATATTCTGAATACTATTCCTTTGTCAGTTATATGTATTACAAATATTTCTCCCAGTTTTTCACTCGTCTTTTTACTTTCTTTATGTAACTCCTGAATAACACAAGTTCTTAAAGTAGTTAAATTTATCAAACCTTTCTTTTATGGTCTTTGTTTTTTGTATCTAGTTTAAGAACTCCTTTACTATCCTGAGACCATAAAGATATTCAACATTGTCTTCTAAAAGTTTTATAGTTCTGTATCTCACTGTAAGTGAAACAAGTAGGAGAGAGGATTCTAAAAAACAAAACAAAACAAAACAAAAACAAAAACCTAGTTTTTGTTTGCTTTATATTTCCTTCATAATTTTCTTGCAGGTTTGTATTTTTCCTGGAGTTTGTATTGCTTTTCAGTTTTTTCCCATTGAGAGAAGAAATGGGTATCTTATTCCCCCTGTCATTAAAAATTTGAGCTTCTTAACCATTTTGTCTATAGCTTGAAGTGAATGCCAGTACTCTTCCTGAGGACACTCTTCTTTCTGTTCTAATCTGGCTAGGTGGCTGCTAGGACTACTGCACAGAAGTCAGTCTAATACTCCTGGTTAAATCCACTATTTCTTATACTGCACATCTTTCTCTTTCTTAGTTATCACTCTTTAACTTTGCTGGGGTACACAGCTTCCTTAGAAAAGGAACATGAAATATACACTTTCTGAGTCCTGCAAGTCTAAAAGTCTTTTTTTTAACCTCTCAATTCACAATCTGACTGACAATAGAATTCTAAATTCAAAATAACGTTTCCTAATGTGATACACAATTGATTGTTATATAACCCTAAAATAATTGGTTTCTTCCACTTCTTATACACTCTGCCAATCTGGGAAATGTACCAAAAGACAGCGTTGTTAAATATTCCACAACTTTTTTTATACTTACTATTTTTGTTTTAGAAAAGTTTCTTGGTTGATGCAAAATCCCAGTTATAGTGTCATGGAACTGGCATAAGAAAGCTTCCAAAACAAAGGCTTTCAAGAGGGAACTCTAATAAACAATCTTGCTAATGTTCTTGAATTAAGAGGAAAATATGCATTTTGTACACAGTGCTTTTTAATTTAAAGTAAGTTAAGCTTAATTTAAAGTAAGTTACGCTTTCAAAAAAATGATTTTCCCTCCAAATATTGAAGGTATTACTGCATTGCCTTCCAGCCTCCTTCGCTTGGCTGCTGGGCCATCTGATTCTCATTGCCAAATCCGTTTTAAATCTGCATTTCTGGCCTGGTGGGGCGTATGCAATTTCCCTTCTTTCTCAGGTGGCGCTGCAGAGAAGGGCAGAGCAGCGCTCGCCTCACTGGAGCAGGAGAGACTTCCCCAGTAGAGGGCGTAGCCTGTGGGTGCTGGGTCTCGGCGAGCCGTACGCAACGTCAGAGACGGGAACAACCCTAGCCCCGCCCCTGCCGCCAGCGACGCGCTCTGATTGGAGGGAGGAACCATCACTTGGCAGCGCCGTTGGGGTAGGAGGAAGAGAGCTGGGCCGAAGGTGACGCTGAGGCGGCCGAGTTGCGGAAAGCGGGGTGGACCGTGAGTGAGAGGGAGCCTCGGCAGCACTTCGGCCACTCTCCCCCATCTCTCTGCGGTGAATGGCGGCGGGATGGAGCACGAGGGAAGCGGCGCCAGCGGAGGCTCGGCCGGGCTCCTGCAGCAGATCCTCAGCCTGAAGCTCGTGCCGCGGGTGGGCAACGGCACCCTGTGCCCCAACTCCACTTCTCTCTGCTCCTTCCCAGGTACCAGCCCCGCCCCGCGCCTGCGCACTGCGCGCCCCGCCGCGGCCGCCTGGCTGTGCGGCGACCGTTCCCCGCGGACAGCCAGGGGCCCCGGCGCCCCGCCCGCTGGGGGCTGTTTTCCTCCTGGAAGGAGGTTCCCGCGCCCTCGGCCGAGAGCAGGGGCGTATAGTCTGTTGCTCCCGTCGCTCCTTCAGGCCGGGCCACCCCGAGCCCGCGCTGGGAGCGAGGTCGGAGGGAGCGGCCGCGGGCGGACCGGTCACTGAAGGGAGCTCGGCCACCACCCAAACTGGTCTTGCTCTTTGGAGTTTCCAGACGCCCCAGGTCCAGACCCGAACTCGACAGAGCCCTGGAGGCGGTCGTGCCGCCTTGTTTGGGGCGCGGGATGCGCCTGGCCGCTTTGGTCCGCGCCGGCCTCTTGGCTTCCGCAGCTCGGACGCCGAATCGTCCGGGCCAGGCGGAGGGGCAGTCAGCTCCCCGTCCCTTTGTCTCTGGTCTGGCCCAGCCCCTCTGCACCGGGAGGTTGTCTGCTGATCGCTCGCACCTCGTCCAAATCCGCCCACTCCACCGGCTTCTCTTTCTCGGAATCACTTTCTGAGACCTGTTGCCGAGTCTCCCGCTCATGCGTTCGAGATGTTTGACACAGCTGCTTTTTTAACCGTTCTTACCCCCGCTGGAGCCTCTGCTGGGCCTGACATTAGGGCTTTTCACATTTATAATACAAGATAGAAAGCTGTCTGTGCTCGCAGAGTTGAGAGGCGGAGAAATTACTGGGGAGGACTAAGAGAGGCTTTGAGGGGAGGGGACAGTTCTGTGTTGGACCTTTAAAGGCAAGAAGGCTCTCCAGCAAAGCTGACTGTTATCCTGACTTAGTAAACAATGAGAGGACGGGGCCCTGAGACCTGCAGGAGGAGGAGGGTTGGATTACTGACTGCAGTCGTGAACGAGGCACCTGTGATTTCTCATCCTCCGGGCGGCGACTGCCAGGCGCCATTCGGTGGACACCCGCGACTTGCGGTGTGTTACCTGCCTAGTCCTTTCCCGACAGGTTTGTGAAGTAGCTGATAATAACCATCTTGGGGCAGGTGCAGATGTTAGCTGGAAATCATGCCTAAAATGATAATCTGGTAGCTCACGGTGTTTCAGAAGGTACTAAGATCCCATTTGTCAGTGACAACGGAAATCTATGGCATTCTGGAGACACTGTCCACAAAAAGAAATGTTAATGCAGTCTGGAGGCACTCCTGGACCAGATTAGTCTGTTTTTGTTTGTTTCCTTATTTTTCCCCTAACTCTTTATTTAAAAGTTATTCAAACCTACTGAAACATTGAGATGATAGTATAACAATATCCATATGTCCTTTGCTTAGATTCGTTATTTTTATCTCTGGCTTTCTGTTTCTCTAAATAGGTATATGCATACACATGACATTTTTATTTTCTGCAGAACCATTTGAAAGGAAGTTACAGAAGTGATGGCACTTGATGCCTAATACTTCAGCTTGTATCTTTTGAAACAAGGACATTTTCTGTCATAGACAAAAAACCATATCTCACCCAAAAAATTTAACATTGATAGAATATTATGTAATGTACAGTCCTTATTTCATTTCCCAAGTTGTCCAAATAATGTCATTTATAGCTTTTTCTCTTTTTTTAAAAAAATTTCAGGATCTAATCAAGGACCACACATTGCCTTTAGTTGTCATGTCTCTTTAGTCTCCTTGAATCTAGAACAGTTTCTCCATCTTTGTTTTAATTCCTTTTTTTTTTTTCTAGGAAGGGTAGCCCTGAGCTAACATCTGCCAGTCTTCCTCTTTTTTCCGAGGAAGGCTGGCCCTGAGCTAACATCAGTGTCCATCTTCCTCTGCTTTATATTTGGGACGCCTACCACAGCGTGGCTTGCCCAGTGGTGCCACGTCCGCACCAGGGATCTGACCCGGTGAACCCCGGGCCGCCGAAGCGGACCGTGCGACCTTAACCACTGCACCACCGGGCTGGCCCCTGTTTTAATTTCTTGAGACTGATATTTTTAAGAGTCCAGGCTAATTGTTTTGTAGACTGTCCCACAATCTAAGTTAATCTGATTGTTTCTTCATGATTACATTCAGATTAAATATTTTTGGTCAGAATACTATCTACATAGGTGACGTCCACTTCTCAGTGCATCACATTAGGAGACATTTAGCTTCAATTTGTACCTTTATTGATAATGCGAAGTTTAGTCATTTGGTGAAGGTGGTGCTTATCAGATCTCTCCACTGTAAGGGTAACTTAATCCTTTAGTTATTAATAAGTCATATGTGGGGTGATACTTAGAAACTGAATATTCTCTTCAGTCTGGCTTTTAGTTGCCTTGTCTTTCTCTAAGAAAAGATTGAGATAAGTAGATTTGGGATGAGAGTTTTAACATTATGTCATAGTAGAGAATCTGTAGCCATGGGAATTTTTTTGCTTTCAGAAATTGTTCTGAAAATATGAAACCGCAATATGTACTTGAGTTTATAGGTATTTCCATAAATAGGTAACTTGGGGGTTTTGATTCCTGCGGTCATTCCTTCAGCAAACATACATTTGGCCAAGTGCAGGCCCTGGGCTGGGGGTATAAACATGCATGAGAGAGAGCCCTTGACCTCAAGTTTATCAGAATATGTTGGGTAAACACACCACCTCCCTGTTCTGTCTCATCTTAGCTGGAATGATGGACATAATAGGTATGTGAAATTTGGTTCTTTTTGAGGCACCAAAGCCTGCTGACAGTGAATTTCATTCATTGTCCTGAATCTGGAATAGTTTCTATTCTGACCCCACAGAAAAGGTTATTTGCACGTTATGCCAACTCAGTATGGCAAAATCGTTGCTCTGAAATATTCTATGGTTTATCACCATCAGGAAGCTTTGAATTGATTTTTTTTTTAAACCTGCGTTTGCAATTTAGCCGTTGCAATTCTGCCTACCTCTCCTTATTCCAAGTTGTTCAAATTTCTTTTGTTGCTGTCATTTTTAACAAATCTGAATGTGAAAAACTTTGTATCAGGAATGACATTAACTTTCTGAAAGTATGAATTTTATTAAAATCCATGTCAAAGTGTATCTTGTGATAGTTAAGCTAAACTCCCCTAATGTTTTGGTTATGCCATTGCTGGAATCAAGAATGGGTCACGTTGGACCAGTTATTTATTCCCTCAGTCAGCAAGTATTTACTCAATGTCTGTTGTGTGCCTCTTATTTTCTAGGCACCAAATAAAGATGCTTAGTGAACAAAACAAAGGAGCTTTCATTCTAATGGGCAGAGAGAAAATAAAAAGATAAAAGTAGGAAGTATGGAAAGGAACAGCTGGTGGTAAGTGAAGACAGGGTAGGGGGATAGTAAGTGGTGGGTCTTGTGTGTCAGGGTGGAATGTTCTTTTACTTAAGGTCACGAGGAAGCCCTTTATGGTGATGCCATCTGAAATCTGAAGGAAGCAATGAACACACCACGCAGCTGTTGAGAAGAGCATTCTGGGCAATGGGCAGAAGCCCTAGAGACCCTGGAACAGGAGTTTGCTTAAGAAACATGAAAGAGGGGCCGGCCTGGTGGTGCCGTGGTTAAGTTCGCACGTTGCACTTCTCGGCGGCCCAGGGTTCGCTGGTTCCGATCCCGGGTGTGGACATGGCACCGCTTGGCAAAAGCCATGCTGTGGGAGGTGTCCCACATAAAAAGAACAGTGTGGGCAAGGTGGGGAGGAGGAGGTGAGGTCAGATCCCTGAGGTCGTTGTTGGAGGGTTTCGAGCAGAGGAGGGATGATCCTTCTTACTTTTTTTAAGTGTACAATTCATTGACTTTTAGTACATTTGCAGAGTTTGCAACCATCACCACAATCAACTTAGGATATTTTCATCACTCCAGTGAGCAATCTTGTACCCATTAGCACTGACTTTCTGGCTTTATGTGAGTAGATGGAAGGCCAGATCAGGACAGACAAGATCTAGCCAGGCTAGGACCAAGAGAGCATTGAGGTGAAGCAGACCAGGGGGCACACTCAGAAACCAGGGATGAGAGGGCCGTCAGGCAGTAGTGTCAGGAGAGAGGGGGCAGCCCACAGTTGGTAGTCCCGGTGGGCAAGTCATCAATGTTAGGGAGGAGAGGAGGCGGGTCTCCAGGAAGAACTCACTGTTTTCCTTTACTCTCACACTACTACCACACTCACAACACTCCTGACACCAGATGTGTGGGTTTTCCACTCATCAGGCAATTCTGTGACGCCATCTGAGTGTCCTACAATTCAGTTCAGTGTGACACCGTCTACCTGGAGTTAACATCAGATCCCACAGGTTAAGGCCTCAGACCCACAACCCTGCCCCCACCCCCGACTTGAGGCATCATTCGAAATTTCAAGTTGTTACCTGTGGTTTTGACCTACTGGCTATAAATCGAAGGTTCCCATGACCCCCTCCTTGAGTTCAATTAATTTTCTAGAGCAGCTCACAGAACTCAGGAAAGCAGTACTTAGTAGAATACTGGTTTATTACAAAGGATATTAAAGGATACAAATGAATAGTCAGATGAAGAGATACTTAGGGCGGGATCCAGAAGGGTCCTGAGCACAGGAGCTTCTGTCCTTGTAGAGTTGGGGTGTGCCACTCTCTCAGCATGTATGTATGTTTACCAATCTAAAGCTCTCTAAACTCCATACTTTTGGGATTTTTATGGAGGCCTCATCACCTAGCCATGATTGATTATTAACTCCACTTCCATCCCCCTCCCCTCTCCCCAGAATAGGGAGTGGGGCTGAAAGTTCCAAGCTTATAGTCAATGGCTTGGTCTTTCTGGTGATCAGCCCCCATCCAGGAGCCCACTAAGTGTCACCTCATGAGAACAAAAGATGCTCCTGGAAATTCTAAGGGATTTAGGAGCTCTGTCAGATGCTCCTATCACTCAGGAAATTACAGGGGTTAAAGGAGCTTTGTGTCAGGAACCAGGGTCAAAGACTAAATATTAGAACAAAAGATTTTCTTAGCACCCCTATTTACAAGGGTTTGGGAGCTCTGTGTCAAGAAGCAGGAACAGAGACTAATATATATGCATTTCTTACTATTGCACAAGGGGGACAGATGGGGCCCCTGTCAGGTAGGTGGGGTTTGGTAAGAGAGCGGTCTCACAGTGGGCAGAGTGGAGAGAATGCAGGCTGATGGGCAGTTAGCATCAAGGCAGTCCAGCATCAAGTTCCAGGACCAGGTGGGACTACGGTTCCCAGCAAGGCTGATGTGGTCTGCTTAGAACCCTGGCTTTGGAGGAACTGGCCATGCTCATGCAGTTGCTTGAGCTGGAACATAAGGTCAGAGTGGGGCCTGCTGAAAGAGGATGGCCAAGTACTGAGCCTCACGCTGCCCACTTGGCTTAGACTCCTTCCATTCCTGCTGATTGGGGCCAGGTTGGTCTTGAGGCCTTGTCTGGAGATTAGGGGACTCAGCTGTAGAGGCTGGAGGGCCAGCGAGCCGGCCGTTACAAACCCCTTTGTTAATACAGAACTCACCTACTGGATTCTGCAATCTGTGTGGCTTTTCTTTAACGGAGCTGTCTGTCTGAAAAGTAGATTCTTAAAGATATAAACTCCATGTGGTCAGGGATGTTTGTCTTTTTGTTTTTTCACTCATAGAGAATGGGCTCAAATATGGGATTGTTGAATGAATGAACTCTTAGTCCTTGTATTAGTCTTGTTGTACTGTAACTTACCACAAATTTAGTGGCTTAAAACAACACAGATTTATCATCTTAGAGTTCTGGAGGTCAGAAGTCCAAACTGGATCAGCAGAGCTGCATTCCTTCTCCTTCCTTCATTCCTTCTCCTTTCTTCATTCCTTCTCCTTCCTTCATTCCTTCATAGAAGGCTCTATGAAGAATTGGTTTCCTTGCCTTTTCCAGCTTCTGCAGGTCACCTGCATTCCTTTCTCCTCCTTTAAAACGAGCAGCATAGCATCTTCAAATCTGACTCTGACCTTCCTGCCTCCCTCTTACAAGGACCCTTGTAATTACATTAAGCCCACCTGGAACATCCAGGATACTCT